CTCAACTCTGTGCGCTCCTTCACATGAAGAGCTAAAAAAATTATGACAAGTGGTTGAGGGTGCTTTTAAGGTTATTCGCAATGCCCACGAACTATAAGGTGGCGCGCTGTACAATTCAACATGGCGCCCGCAGGAGACGCAACAACGCAACTTTTCTTGGCAATGAAGTGAAAGCTGCGAGGGTGGGGCTATTGTACATGTATCCCTCCGCGAAGTAGTCCGGTTCGGCTTTAGTGTTTCAAGTTACGGCCACGTTCGAATAATAACGCCACATACAATCTGCTACGTCTGAGTCACCGGAATAGCTGAAGGGCGACGAGCGCTCGCCTGAAGACGAAGACGCCATTTTGACTGTGTGGTGCACGTAAAACTTGCGACGTTTAACACGTGCGAGAACGCGAAATGGCACAGCTTAAATTAAAACAAATGTGTATACCTTTTCGTTGTGTGCTGCCTCTCTTTATGAACAACATCCCGAATAAAGTAGCCCCACCGCGGTGGTCTAGTGATGGTACTCGGCTGCGGCGTCGGCATTTTCGATGGAGGCGGAAATGTCGTAGGCCCGTGTGCTCAGATTCGGGCGCACGTCAAAGAACCCCAGGTGGACTAAATTCCGGAGCCCTCCACAACGGCGTCTCTCATAATCATATGGTGGTTTTGGGACGTTAAACCCCACATATCAATAATCAATCTCGTACTAAGTAATGTTGTTTTTCATTGTTCTCACGCGAGAAACAAGAACGCAATTGCAGAACTATATTCTGCAGCGGTGGCACAACCCCAGTTTAGTACCGTAACCTTCCCTTCGTTGCACACGTGTGGACGTACGGGCCGTTCCACTTTCACCGGATAATGTGATGAGCTGCAGTGAATTGTACAAAAGACCACGGTGTAAGAATAAGTTCATGAGACCAAAATACCTTTTCTAAACCATGAAAGCTCGCCACCTAACTATTTGCCGTGGTGTGAAGGTTATATTTCAGCTCCGTTACTATGCATGAACGACGCTTTGCGAAATCCTGTGCATAGCACAGAAAACTGCAAGAACTAGAATTGACGTATGAAATGAACGGCAATCTGACGTCGTACATGTACCGAGCCTTCCTGACGGACTTGCCGCAGTAGTAGGCCGCTAGCGAGTAGCGCCATTGCTGCGGCCCGGAACCGAATGCGTAACGTGGTGATGGTCTGCAAGCATATAGTACGCCGTCGTGATTACTTGCGCTGCCAGGAACATGAAGTTGCTTTCTCAACGGAACCCAAGCATTTAACACCCGATTAAGCAGCGCTCGTGTCACAGCCATGCTCAGAATTTAGCCGTGCGCAGTTTGCTGCACTCGAATGTTGCCGGTTCTATCAGCGCGACCGAAACAAGAATATTGAGAAGAATACACATATATGCCTTTCGCAACGTCTCAATTGCAAAAATTCGTTGAACAACAACGTCGTTCGGAAAGTACCGGTGAAGTACAGGAGAAGTTAGCCGAAAGGCGTGAATAAGTCGTAAGGTAACTACATGTTTCATCACTCTATAGCCAATTCGCTTCGCTGGTCGAGCTCGAGCATAGTGGTGCTCGATAATACTCACATTGATTGGGCTACATGCAATGAACAAGAAAAACTATGCTTTTGTTTTGACTTCACCGAAGTATATTATGCATTAAATACAATCAAATGGACTTCTGAGCGTGAAAAATCAATAACGTACGAAGGAGCGAAAATGCAACTTGCTCCTCGTGAGTTAGCAGCTGATCGTTCATCGTCGCTATCGCTCTCGGTGCGTTGACAACCTTCTGCGTCCAAAGAAAAAATCCTCGTCGCCAACATGGCTTCTTTCAACATCGCTGCTGAAAGCAAATTAAGGAATTCGAATTCCTTCCGCCGAACGACTTCGACAACATCAACTATCATTGCACCGCTTACCATGTGTATCTCGGCGCCAACAAGCGAATGACTCACTGCGTGTTGATATCTATCAACATACAAAAACAAGTGGCGCAGCATTGGTCAAGTTATGGCCAAGTTTTGGAAAAGCAAATCGCGAGCCCGCGCGACTTTCCGCGTACAATGAATGTTATGGGTCAAGGTGAGTTTCAACTGCAAACGTCAGAATATTATTTAACCAAGAAGATCTATTAACTAACTTATGCAGCTACGGGAAATCTAGCGAAGCTGGTATGTGTACTCTGGGGGTTACATTCGAAAGAAAACTTCACGTCCCGCAAGAATGAATAGGATTGATTGTGTAACAGGCGGTCCGGCTTATTCACTGATGCACGAAACACGAAAAATGGTTTAGTGTTTTTTTCTTGCTAACGCAATAATACCAAGGCTTGCAAAGCCGAACAGGCTAGGGAGCGTCTGCCCTGACCATTCCTTGAGAGGACCCTCCTAAATTCCGCTTGGCGGCGTGACAGTCTATGGGCAAGGACGCCACCAGTATACTGAAACTGCGGCTGAACGGACGGTCGAGGTCCGACTTCGAATCAGGGATGCGGAAGACCCCGATGGAGAAAGTATACGGAGGCCAAGTCGATCTTTAATTGCTACAGAACCTATAAGGAGAATATCAGTGAGTCGCACTTCTACGACAACATTTGCGGCAGCACCCTAGCCCCTGTTCGACGCGAGAGCAGAGCTCCTCGCACTCTTTTAATTGAGTACCGCAGAAGGTTCGATAATGCTGTTGTCAGCAGCCTGTTCAGAGTTTGCGGCACGTATGGAGACCTAGACGCAAGAACACCTCGTTCTCCTCTTAAGACTTCGCACTGCTCCGGTTGAGGGCGCAACCTTCCCGGAGGCGCTATAGGGTTTCTCGATACAGATGATAACGGTGACATTGAGAGGGCACGATATGCGCGGTGGCAATCAGGAAAGGGTAGCTTTCCGGGCGGTGAAGAACTGTACGCCGAACTGAGGACCTGTTATTTGCGCGTCTCCTACCTTTGGCGAGTGTGGGTGTTTCTTTTTTCACTGTCCTTTTTTTTTTAATTTTCTCTGTTGAGGCCAGGACACAGTCTGAGTGTGATTCCCCGTAGAAAAGGGGCAGGTCACCGCTACATAATCATCATCATCATTGCAACTACGTTTGATAACAGTAGTTCCCCAGTCAAAGTAGAATTATTCATGCGTGTTGCAAACTTGAAAGGCTCAGCACCGTTGGATCAAGAGTCCAAGGTTTGCCGATGGCAAATGTTATTAATAAGCACTTTTTCTTTGACATAGGAATGAACGGGACCAAGCGGAAACTTTATTTTTGCTCCCGCTACCACCCCTCAAGGAAAAATGCTAAGAAAGGTCAATTGGTGTGAAGGTTTGTAGCAAATTGTGTTTTATGATTGCAATGTGCAGGGTTCCAGCACGTTACGACGCAACACACCAGACGGAGGCTGGAAGTTCAGTCCTTGTCTTGTGCGTATGTCTTCTTGCACTCGCGTTGTGGTGTGCTCAGAAGCAGTCATAATTACGGATTCTCTTTCGGGGTGTACTGCGCTCTCTGCAGCAAAAAACTTAACATTAATGCGTATGATTAGTAGTTTATTACCCACAAACTTGAGAAAGTTCCCCTTGGTATGGGTACCTGGCCACTGCGGGGTTTGTCTAAATGAAATGGCACACTCGTTAGCCAAAGCATCTTTAAGCGGACCACTCTTCTCCATTTTACCTGATTTCGCTTACGTAACAGCACTCGGATATAGAAATGCTTGTTTTCACAAGGAAACAAACAAGTTATTATTGGATAAAGTCAGGGCATCGTACATCTAAGATTTTGCTGGAATAAACAGTGGTGCACATCTAGGCAGTTAGAAATTGCAATTACTAGATGACGCTGTAGAATTCCCCTCCTGAATTATTACTCACATAAAGCTCGACTCAGAGCATCTCCATTATGTCTCTTTTGCAAGGAAATAGAAACAATAGATCATTTATCTTTATTCTGTCACCGATATTCTTATCAAAGTAAAAGATACCCTGTCGACCGAAGTGAGAAGCTGTGTTTATAAATAAACGTGGCAGTAGTTTTGTCCTTTGGAGGGATTACATTACGTTATAGCAACAAGGAGGTTTGTTCTGCTGTGTGTGCATACATAATGGAAACAAAAAGTTTAGCTTGTTAGTCTATTGATACTATTATTTCTTCCTCCGAGACTATCTGATTGCTGACCTGCTAGCTCATATATCATTTTCGTACAACATTTATGATTTGTTTCGTGTTTTTACTAAAACTTCATTGGGCGTTTTGAAATACATAACCAACTAACCCAAAGATTCTGCCGCCTGGTTCTCGGCCGATCCCCCTCTGTGGTTGAGGGCTACCAATAAAAGAGGATCATCATCATCATCATCATCATCATCATCATCATCATCAACCCTTCACATTGTTGCCGTGAACCAAATGGTCCAGAAAAGCACACTGCTAAAGTGTGTTTTTTACACTCGTAGTTCTTCACTCTCGTGCGAAATATTGAACTTCCCGCCAAAGCCTTGCAAGTTTATTTTAACGTCTACCGTCACGATAAGGCAAGCGGTCATTTCTGTTTTCCAGGCCACCGCAGGGAACGCCACGGCACAGAACACCTACTGGCCACGGCCGCTAACACCAGCAGCAGGATAAGCGGTTGCAGGGCAAGCGCTTGACGTTTGTGCACTAGTTCTTGCTTGCAAATACGGTGCTCACTGAAGGTAAACTTTTCTGTGTTACCTATCTTGACTCTTTATGTGGGACGCGTAATCTATAGCGCTGTTTTCGTGCTTAACTTCGTTAGTCATAGTGTTTGTTTTGACATCCCATTGCGTTGAGTGCGTGCCGGTGATCTTAATGCAAATGTCGCTTTCCAAGTGTTGTCATGAGAATTTATTGTCACTAACTTGTAGCCCACTGTTTAAATACTGCTCTAGGAGACATTCTGTGACAGCAAGTTATTTTGAGTCGCTTTAAAGCGGAAGCCTCAATGTTAACCCGACCGCATCAGGTTCCGTAATGGCGTTTCCTTGATCCCAATCTGCAGGAGGGTCGTGAATTTGCGTATACAAGACCGCTTAGAGTAATCGAACGAAGTGTCATTCAAACGGAGTTTTTCAATGTGGCCCACAAGGAACACACATCGCTCGACAATTGCGCCACGTTTTGCAATGGCGCCAGGTATAGTTCCTTGTTACGCATTGTTTATGAATCACCGAGCCGAAATTGCTGTGAAGTGGCGCGGCGACGACGACCTTGTATTGTTTGTGTCTGCGTTTTCTTTTCCTCCACTCTCACTCTGACGCTTCTTTCGAGTCTCTAAGTGTGCGTGTTCAACTACTTGACCCCCCCCCCCCCTTTTTTTTTGTCACTACGTGTGTTAGTGAAATGACGGCCCTCGCGTCCCATCCGGAGCACCTCTCGATGCCAGCTGGTTCGGACGGCAGCGACGACCTAATGTCGGACTTCGAGGTGCTCTCTGCGAACGACGAGAGCATGGCGTTAGCTGTCACTGCCAACGGGCCGCTCGAGAATCTGCATCTGTCGCTGCCCCACGGCGACGGCACTTCGCTGTCCAGCGCGAGCGATGATCTGACTCATCAAGAGGCGGAAGAACGTATCGCCAAAGTGCTTCAGGAGAACGCCAACTTGAAAGGTGAGTCTCCTTGTTGCCTCGAGAGACGTGTCGTGTTAAATCATCGCATAGATGTCCTGCCAGCGTTCACGTCCAACTGCTACTGCAACATTGCTACCTCTTTCATCACTCCAAACTGTATATGTTTTTTCTTCATTTTTTTTTACATTTACACATTATATTCACTTTCTCTATTATGCCTTACCGATTCATTGAATGCTTAGCATGTGTGTTGCCACCTTTTTATGTCTCTTTTTTTGCTATATTCAAACATACTCGCTATATGTTCACCTCCTCTGTTATGCTGTACTGGTTATTTCAAATGCTTATCTTGTAAATTCTTGCACTCCTAATTGCACTGCATGTATATAGTGTACAACTGTGTAATTAAAAACATGCAGTCCCGCTGCGATTTCTGGCCGTGAGACCTGTTTGGTATGTTTCTACATGTACATGATTTTACTCATTGAAAAAGTATAACGTGAAACTGTGACCCAAGTTCGATATCGTTTTGCTACAATGTTTAATGTGTCAGTGCTGGGCGTATGAGTTACGAGAATCCCCATGGACTTCAAAACAAAGCATTATTTCAGTCGTACAGAAGACTAAGCCTGAATGTTTGTTTCGAACAAAGATGATGAAACCGAAGCTCTGTTTTTTATTTTGACCACATATTGAGAGCTGCCAGTTTGATGGAGCCCAAAACTAATGCCAGCCAAAGTAGAATGTGAAAGAAAACGAGGCGGCCTGTGTGTGAAAGTAGTGGTCTTCTTCAAGTCTCTGGCAAATGTTTAGGTCAGCCTAAAAGATCTTGTACCAAATAGCTCTGTCGCAGATACTCGCTCACGGCCACCAGCTGTTGTCACTGTTTCATTAGCACATAACAGCAGTGAAAGTGCATTGCTGCCCTTTCATTTATTGAGCGATACTCAACTTTTAAGTGGTGAAATTATATTAACAAAGTTGCTCAGTATGTATCAAGTTAGCAAGATGCTTGATTACTTTCTGAAGCTGTTGTTTTGTATACCACATTTACTTTCAATGCTTCATAGTAGCAGTATGTTTCTGCATATTCATGTGAATGTATGTACAGTTGGATACAACTTTACAAGATAGTGGCATTTTCTCCTCAAAAGCATATAAGTCTGCATCAATGGGCACACACTACGGGCTAATGTCATGAGACAGAGGGCCAGTGGAGAACATTGTTATAGAGAACTGTTCTCCCACCTTCAGAGAATATTGCGGAGTGCACGAGTGGGACTATTTTTTTAGTTGCGGAGGGGATCAGCTATTGTGATTCGGGCATCTGTGGGGGGAGGGGGGGGTCTCCAGTCTTAAGTTATGTTCAACTTTAGCAACAAACTAACTACCGTCTGTTAGGACAACACTTTAGAGATTGTCAATCGCTTCAAGAGAATGTCAAGTGCACAGCTTGCTGTTGTCACCCATAGGTACCTGTTTCATGTAAATTAGTCCAACGTCCCTGCAATAATTTCTCATTTGTTGGTGGTTAATAAAGCTTCAATATTATCCATGCAAGGAACACGGCAGTTGTGCAATCGAATTTCATTGTCGTTATGTTAAGCTTTCGGTCAAGCATCCACCTTTACTCATGCTTCGAGCTATTTCACAAGCGAATGTTTCACAAGGGTTTGTGCTCTGCGAGGCAAATGATGGCACCGCTTGTACCAGAGCACACAACCTTTGTAGCAGAGCGATTTCTGTGGTTGCGAAGGGCAGTGGTAACTAAAGTCACTGTTGCAACTTGCTTCCATTAACTGGCAACATCTGCAATTTTGTGTGCTCGTCACATTGCGGCAACACATTTCAAGCACTTGCAGTCTAATTTTCCCTTTGAAAAGATGAGAAAAGTGATGTCCTTGCATAGAATTCCAACAAGTTATGCAGCATCACTAGTTCTGGCAATGACGTGGCTTCATTACTTCTTGCACCCGCTCAACCATTGCAACTGAAAACAGGAAAGACGTACCAAAGAGGTGCTGAATGTAAGGCGTAAACATGCATGCCTCTTTATATATTAATGGAACTAACCAGTTGGAAAAATGATCATGCATGCACAAGGCAACCACGATGCTTTATTGACCTCAAAGCATAGCCCTTCAAGGTTTGATATTGCTGTTACTGAGGGGTCTTTAGATGACTATAGTAAACAGACAATAGTTCATGTCACAGCACTTGTTGTTTATTGGTGAAATCGAACACCAGTGTGAGGGCTGGACGTGGTTGCACGCAGTGCGGATTATCCACGGCAGATTTTGTTTGCACCAGAAGTATTGAACTCTTTCATACAATGATTGATGTATAGCTTGGCTGGACCATGGCACGCAGTTTTACTTTTCTAAGAAACTTGAAGTAGTAAGGTATGAGTGAATGAATTTTTTGTGTAGTTTCACTGCTTCCTGAGCCAAGACTTTCTGCCATTTGGCACTAGTGGATGCAAAAATAAGAAAATTTTCAGGTGGGACATTTAGGAACAAGTACAGGCTAATCTGGTGTTCAGAACACGCAGGCCTGGAGAGAAATGAAAGTGCCGACGCTTCTGCTCGGGGGCTCGCGAACTGAGCAGAACATCGATAACCCTGTCCATCTTTTCAAACACTCCAGAAGGAAGCGAATGAGAAGGATAATGACTTATCCAAAATGGCCCCTTGCAAAATTCTTGCTAACCCTCGAGGCACGTGACTAAAAATACAGAGCCACCCTCACCCCCCACAAATCATTAGAAGGGGAGGACGAGGATCGACCTGTGCAGAATTAAAATGAGAGTCTTTCCCAACAGTTGTAAGATTAAACAAAATTTTGGCAGCACTGTATAGGCACGCCTGTCCGTGATGTGGCGGCTCGCCATCGCTCTACCACATTTCGTGGCGATGCCTAAACCAACCATCAAATTTAGATACCTTCTTAGGTCAGTACAAGCTCTAATACTTTAAAGCAGTGGGAGGCACAGCTCGCCAAACTCTGACCCAGAGGTGCAGCTTGCGCTTCTGGGTCACGTCAGGCTGGCGGCCACAGCCAGGGGAGCCCCGTCCTTAGGGCCCGACCCATCGGGCTCATTACCCCTGTCCCAAACCCTCGTGAGTTTGAGGCAGGGAAGTTTCTCTTCCTTTCAAAGTCAAGATTTGACCAACCACAAGTATGAGTGATGACTTATGGAAAATAGTGTTCATTCATATGGTCACCTGTCATCTGGCAACCAAACTAAATAACAAAAAAAGCTTTGCCGCCCCGCCGCGGTGGTCTAGTGGCTAAGGTACTCGGCTGCTAACCCGCAGGTCGCGGGTTCAAATCCCGGCTGCGGCGGCTGCATTTCCGATGGAGGCGGAAATGTTGTAGGCCCGTGTGCTCAGATTTGGGTGCACGTTAAAGAACCCCAGGTGGTCAAAATTTCCGGAGCCCTCCACTACGGCGTCTCTCATTATCATATGGTGGTTTTGGGACGTTAAACCCCACATATCAATCAAAAAGCTTTGCCACCCTTTTTTAAAATACAAGAAAGTGCTTACAAATTTTTGACACTCCATCGGCGTGTAGTGTTCAATCTCATCACAGCCACACGAACAAAATGAGACTTTCAAATGTACATTTTAAAATGAACTAACTCAGCATTGCTCTCTAAAGTTTCTAAATGAAACGAAATTTCCCTGCGGCTGAATTTTTTATGGGTGGGTATTTACACCACTGAAGCCATCTTGACAATGAAGCATGGCTCGTGATGGTGCAGTTTTCATATTAGCAGCCTTTGAACTGCACCTAGTAAGTAGTTAATGGTGCACGCTAGCTCCAAGGTGTTCCAGTGCCACTTTTCTTCTGCTGATGAGCCACTCCTCTGTTAACATTCATTGCTTTCAGCTTGTGTTGATTGCATTTTCTTCTATTTAGGTACTATTATAAGTGGCAGTTTTCACGAGGCTGTCCCTCGTATTGTAAGCGGGAAATTTAGCGCACGGTCTGATCTGTGTGTATCTGCGCAATCTTGAAACTACACTTCTTATGTGGTTGATAATTTTGTTGCCATCTACACTGACTTGCCCTCTTTCTTATGACCATGCAGAAAAAGTGGCTCTTTGTACATCCAAGATTCAGCAGCAGTACGACACTTTTGTGGCATATCAAAAGCAACTCTCTGAGGCACAGGCAACACTCAAAGTGGAGCTGTCAGACACTCGTCGCAAGCTTGAGGAGAAGTGCTGCTTGGAAGTGGAATTGAGGGATCTTGTGGAGAAGCTGCAAAAGGCGTGCACTCTGGTAGGTACTATAATGTTAAATGGGACTCCTAACGCACAATCTGTTCAAATCATTCTTTGAGAGATCTTGAGGATCAAGAAGACACTAAATGTAAAAAAGATGAAGTTTTGCGCTAAATTGAAAGATGAGGTTTGTGTAATGTAGGTGCGCACGGGCTCTGGGTTGCCTGAAAGCCCGTCTCGCGAGCCAGGCTCGGGCAGGCTGTCTTTTGATCTCGGGTCCAGGCCAGTTCCAAGCTACATTGTTTTCTCTGGGGTGGCGCAGGGCCAGCTGCAAAGCCTGAATGAAGTCCACCTGAGAATGCTTACCGCCAAAAAATGCAGCGAAGCGTATGTGGAAGTAAGACAGCTTATTTCGTCATTTTAACCAGAGAGTGGGGAAAATGAAGTCTAGCCTGCCACAAGGAAAGCAACAATTTACCTGCCGCACAAGATAAACTTGGTTATTTGTGAAATCATCCTCCTGCCCCTGTCTTGCAACTGAGGTACTACCGTATTTACTCGCATAATCCTTGCACTTTTCCTGGCGGACAACAGATTCAAAGTTGGGGGTGCGAGAATTACGCTGGGAGAACTTTCCGCGAAAACGTACCGAGCGAGAAAGAAAACGAAGTGGCCGCAAATTGGGATTCTCACATCAGCAACTAACAACAAGCTTTGAGAAGTACCAATTAAAACTTACCTCAACCATAAAAACACAGGTTCAACACAAGGCAAGATTTATTCAAGACACAAAAACTGCAAGCAAATAGCCGAGAATGAAAGTACCATATGCAAAGCTTGTAGGCGTTGCATGCGAAGCGGTAGCGTTCGTCACTCAACAGGAGCCCTCAAAATGTATGTGTAGAACGTCAGTATTGGGCTGATGGCTATTTAACAGAATCGTCTGCAGTTTCCTTCAGAAGAAATAAAGTTTACCATCAATCCCGGTTTTAGGCACACAAGGCCCAAGGCGTATTGGTGTCTTTCAGCTGCCATCACCAGTAGCGAACACAGAACTCGTCGACTCCGAAGGGCGTACCGGCAGCCCTGTTGCTGTTGTTTAGTGCATGATCAATCACTTTCAACTTGAAATCAGCCGTGTAGCTTCAGTATCGCCTTATAACGTGACAAGATTACTGACACAACATACAAAAGACACACCGCAACCCGCAGTTGCCACTTTGGCTTGGCTTAGATTGGATTGAATCTCTGTGCAATCATAGTATGCTTGATGTTTAAGAGATGGCGCACGCTATGATCAGTGGCTGGTACGAGCAGACCACATTATTGCAGTAGTTTTTGAGGGTGCGATAATTACTCGAGGAAAAAAAGAAATCTTATTTTTGTTGGGTGACGTGGGGGGTGCAAGAATTATGCGAGTGTGAGGATTACGCGAGTAAGTACGGTAACTTCTGAAAGAACTAACAGTCTAATCCCAAGCTTGCTATGCGTGCAAAGAAGGTGTTGGCAATTCTGGCTGCCAATGCGAGCAGGGAACGGAAGTTAAGTTTGGCGGAATATGTGATGCCGGAGAGCCGCGCGTCACTGAAGACTAGATCATCAGACAGCTTTATTTTTGCTCCCACTATTTGTAACCTGTGTATACACACTGAAATCTCGGTACAACAAACCTGAAAGGACCTCTTAAAAATCATTTTTCATTAAAGTCATTGTAGTGAAAGTATTGAAAATTTGCACAAAAAAACCTTAATGCAGACACAGGAGTCGCCTACCTGTGGTGTATATATTCACGACCGCGTTATGCTCTAATAAAGCGCGAATAAAATAAAGAAATATTGCGGAACCAGTGCATGTTTATATGCGAATGAGCGTGATCTATCCTGATGTGGACTGGTGCATTGCTGAAAGACGTACTGTAATGGTGTGCGTCCTTTTTACGCACTGTGAAGCATTGGCTGGTGTTAAATACTGATTCTTCACGTTGGTTCACACTCGCTGTTTCAATGTTGTCTTTGCACTTGGCGCTGTTTTTTTATCAAGACAAATGGTATGGATCATATCGTTCGTCAGCTGCACTCACATGCATGCTTCATCGTCACACTGTGCGTGGTGTTTTCGCATTGGTGAAGCATGCACGGGTGTTCATTCGCGACTTCATCCCACAGATCACTCGCGCCGCATTTTTCATGGCCGTAGCCTTTCTTTCGTGCTGCTTTCGGAGCTCATCTTTGACATTCAACCACGAACTAAAAGGTTAAAATACAACCACGTAACAAGTGCGCAGTTAAAGCTGTTTGACGAAAACAAAGGCAACGAGGTGAAACGTGACATAAAATACAGGTAGAACGCGATGGTGATAGGGCTATCGCACGAGTGAATAGGGCAGGCAAATTTAGAAATATGCGGGCGTACTTATGATGATGACAGTGGCAGATATGGAACTGGGCATCATTTTTATAGCTGCAAGCCACTTTTTACAGTTGCTATTCGTTACATTGAAGTGTTGAGGATTTATAAGGGGGATAAAATTGAATACGGTATTCTGAAGCATTCGAAATTGTGAAATTCGTAGTAGTGAAATAGTTTTGCATTAACGCAATGGACATTTGGAGGGGTATTCTCGAAAAAGTTGTTAATTCGAGGTTCGCTATAATGAGATTTGACTGTAGTGTCGTGCTCTTTACTAATTTTTCACTTTAATATGTTAAAGGGCCACATTATCGAAAAAGAATAGCTTGTCTTGTCGGCAAACATCGTCGAGCCAGACCGGGCGTCACCTGGGCTTCTGTTATTGTACATAGGGCTGGGCTCGCAGCTTTTTAGCACCAGGCTTGGGCGGGTCTTTGGCACTGCCATCAGGCCAGAGCTTTGCCGAGCTTCGGCGTGGAAGTGAGGGCCGTGTACAGCTCAATTGTGTAATGACCACTTCATCATTCTGGCAAGAACATAGTATATCGTTAAAGGGGCCCTGAAACACTTTTTCAATTAACCATGCAATCAATTCACATGAAGAGCTTATTGCCTTATAAATTCAACGCCACAAAAATTTTAATACATCCAGTGCGAGCGCAGTTACAAAGCTTTGTCGCATGCTGCAATGAGATTCTCTCTTCTCTCGTCCCGACGAAAAGCGCTGGTAGCTTAGCAGGGAGAATGGCAGGGCCACAGCAAAACGTCACGCGAGCCTAGTGACCTTGAGCATTTTTTTCTTCTTTTTTTTTCTTCGAATGTGCCGCTTCTTCAGTGTAATCGCGCGCGCACGCGTGGACAAGCAGCGGCCTCCCGCCGCGATCTCTGTAACGAGCGAGTGCGCCAGGTTCAAATCGGCCAGTGGTGGACATGGGTCGTTGACATGTGATTTTTGGGTATATAACGCGATTCGCCGAGAGAAGAGAAAGCAATTTTTAGCTGACTTTGATAATTTATTGTGAATTCCAGGCCGTGTGCTGTGCTATATTTGGCTCACGTGTTGTCGGGAGCATCTACTACAGATCAGCAGCGTTTTCTGGCCATGCTCAAAAAGTGTTGCAGGGCCCCTTTAAGCAAGGAAACGATAAAATAGAGAAATTTTAAGTGGAGCCCTCCGACTCTGGATTTGTCAGTCCGCTATACAGTAGACTCGCAATAATACGATAATTCATACTTTTGAGTAATTCAAATAAATTTCATTATGTTGGTTGGCCCTCTATTCTTTTCAATGTATTTAAAAGCCTATCAATTCAAACTCTATCATTTGGTCAATTCATACTTTTTTCAGTTTCATACCAGAAAATATCTGCTGCTTTGTCACTACTATTAAAAAATTAGTGTGCTTATATAATCCTGCACAGTCTAAGAATGAAAAATAAGAACCTCAGGCCTTCAAGGAAAAAGGCTTTGCTAGTAAACAAATGTTTGAGACAGAGCACACTGCACGGTAAACTGTGATGCTTCTCAACTGGTATAGAGAGCTTTGTGCTGAGGGCACATACCTATAGCAAAGATGCATTTGGCAATTCACAATTTCTTTGAAGGTCTGATCGGCAGTAAATGGCCAATAAACTTGTGGGCCCTACACTATTGCTTTCTGTTAATTGCGTGCAGTTCGGTTTTAAATATACTTAAAACAATTATTTAAATGTGATAAAATCAATGCCTAATCATAATTTGTGGTGTTACCTCACCCAGAGTAATCTATCTGAAAGTTCTGATAATTTTAACTTCTTGATAATTCGAACAAGATTCAGAGGTACCTTTGGGTTTGAATAACGATAGTCCAATGTACTTTATTTAAAAAAAAAGACCAAACAAATGTGACTTGAATGTAAGACACAATCAGATGGTTTGAGTGCAATGGGAACTAAATTGAAAATTGAGAAGAAATGAGAAACAAGCTTTTGTTCCTGTTTTAAAGGAACGTCTACCAGTCTGTGTGGACTGCTTGCAAGAGTGTAATGTAGTATGTGTAAAAATGCTGCACTGGATTGTATTCGCACAGTTAATATTCAGTGCTGCTGTTGTTCAGTTATCAGCTTAGCTGGTCTAGGAGTTCTTTCTGTAGTGTGAGCAGAAAATTGCTCCAAACGAAACTTGCACTGCCCAATATTTTGCCTTTTCATTATTCAAAGTTTCTCCGAAATAGCGTTATTCATGCTGCATCCTCATCTGCTCTCCAAAAGGCTCAACCACTACCCTCGTTTATTTATTTATTTTTTGTTCGTGCGAAATTCATGCACACTAGAATGAAACACTGGTGCTATTTAGTTTTTTTTTTACTACAACAGTCTGTCGTGATTTGGTAAGTAAAGCAGCACCTATTTGCCTGCAACACACATATGTAGACAGATGCCACAAACAAGCAGTAGCTGCCTTCGCCTTTCTTGCCCTCTTATGTTGAAGTATGTGATAATCTTCTGACATGCAGTATGCATCGGAACGCCAAGCTATGACACTGATGTCCGGAAAGTGGGATCCCAAAAGTGGCAAAGACGGTGCTGCCGAGGGACAAACTACCTCAGCAGATGTGAGACACCATTTTTATTCCTTAAACTTGTGCAGGCTTTTTTGTGATTCCTTTTTTTTTTGGGGTTTTGATACTGTCTTCGATGTTGTAAAATACTAAGTGACCTGCAAAGCTCAATTCTGTACTGTAAACCTGGATAAGATATAACGGAGAGTATCTTAGTAACCTGCAATTCGATGATCACACTGCCTTGATGAGTAACTTAGGGGACGAATTACAACTCATGATTTTTGAACTGGACACAGAAAGCAGAAGAGTAAGTCTGAAAATTATTATGAACAAAACTAAAGTAACGTGCAACAGTCTTAGCAGGAAACAACGCTTTGCGATAGGTAAAGAGACACCGAAAGTTGTAAAGAAATATGTCTACTTAGAACAGGTAGTAACCGTGGAGCCGAACCATGAGAGTGAAATAAGTAGAATAAGGTTGGGGTAGATCACATTTGGTAAGCATTTTCAAATCATGGATGGCAATCTGCCACGAACCCTCAAAATGAAGGTATATAATGGCTGCATCTTGCCTGTACTTACCTACGGAGTGGAAACCTGGAGGCTTATAAACAGGTTTCAGCTTAAATTGAGGACGATGCTGCGAACGATGGAAAGGAAGGTCATAGGTGTAACCTTATGAGACAGGAAGAGGGCAGAGTGGGTCAGGGAGCAAAGTGGAGTTAAGGATATCATAGTTGAAATCAAGAAGAAGAAATGGACATGGGCCGAGCATGTAGCGCGTAGACAGGATAACCGCTGGTCATTGAGGGTAACTGACAGGATTCCTAGAGAAGGAAAATGTACAAAGGGGAGACAGAAAATTAGGTGGGCCGATGGGATTAAAAGTTCACAGGTATAACATGGCAGCAAAATGCACAAGACCGAGTTGATTGGCGAATCAGGGGAGAGACTTTAGCCCTACAGTGGGCTTACCGTATTTACTCGATCCTACCGCGCCCTCGATTGTAACGCGCACCCGGTTTCCACGACGAAAAAAAAAAGTAAGACATCGATTGCAACGCGCACCCATTTTTCTTGTTCGCCCACACAATCACACCACTCTGGAAAAAGACTCCTTTCGGGAGTGTCTTCCGCTTAAATATCTGGTACGGGGGAAGCTTGTGCTTATCTGACGTGCAACGGAGCATTGCCGTCACTCTAGTTTTACCGTGGCCCGATGTCAGCACGCGAACTTGCTTCGCCCCCTTCTTCTCGACGGTTGTGGTGCCAGGCATGGTGAAGTAAAGAGGCGTCTGATCGGCATTCCCGATTTACCCAAGCAGGGAGCCGTTGTTGTGCCGCAAGTTTAGGACGAACCTCTGAAAACTGAAGCTTTTCTTCGTACTCCTCTGGCAACTTTTGGCATATGCCCGTTCGCCTTCAGAGGGAAAAGCCTTTTCTCTTCATAAAGTTAGTTAGCCAGCACCTGCTCGCTTTAAACTGGCTCCGCATTAGCTCTTTTTCTAAGGCTAACTGCATAGCCTGCACTTGGAGCAGTTCTGTCGTCACGGGCCGCTGTGTCACTCACTGCTCAATCACATACTCGCCGAGCAGCTCTTCAATTTGCGGAAACCGACCCAGCTGTGGTCCTCTGAAGCCTTTGCGTGAATCTTTGCTGTCGGCAATCTTCTGCTTTTGTTTCCGCCAGTCCCGCACGCACGTTTCGGGAACTCCGAACGACCGCGATGCAACCCGATTTACGTCCACTTCGGCACACGCGATGACTTTTCTTTTAAAAGCGGCATCGTGGTGCACTCGAGTCTTTGGAGTCGGCCCTTCCATGCCGTCAATGCTAATGCACTACAAGATGACAAACTCCTCAGCACACGTACGAAGTGCCGCACATAGGAAACACATAGCCAGAAATGGCCGACGCGCCAATGCCGACGCACGTAGGGGGCAGCCATTTTGGAATGCCGATGGCAATAGAATGACCGTATTCATTTTTTTTTTTCGTACTTGATTCTAACGCGCATGCGATTTATGGACTCGCTTAACCGGAAAAAATGTGCTCGTTAGATTCGAGTAATTACGGTAGTCAGGCCAATGATGGCGATGATTAACTTTTTCGGATTGTTTATTTCCTTCTCTAAGTTGGTGTCTTGGCTAAGATTAGCTGAAATTTGACACCATTTCTGTTCTCATTTAAACTTTTGCATGATTCAGATTTCAGAAGAGTGGTGCAGGTACACAGGCTGTAGGAATATTCTCTATTTCACTGTCAAACTTGGGGATTGTAAATATATAGTCTTGTCCTGTTTCTCGTGATGGTTTCAAATGTGCAACACTTCCTTGAAGATCAACAAGAGCAGAAGGTAAATGTAGCTGTCTCCCTATTCTTTCAGGAAACAGTAGGAAGAGCGCGGCTCAGCAGAAAGTGTGTTAATATTGCATAGCTATATACTGCAGTAGACTCGCGATAATTCATGCTCTGATAATTTATACTTTGGTTAATTCAAACAAATTCAATTCAAAACAAACAAATTCAAGTACATTCATTGTGCATGGACTACTTTGTTTAAAATGAATTGTTAAGTTTATTGACCGTACCACTGTTGCATCATGCACACTCTTATTCCTTCTTTGGTGTGCGAGTTAACTTGTTCTTTAGACACCATATATTCTGTATTGTTGAGCCATTGTGCTATCCTGGCATGCACTTTGTTTTTTATGTTGGCAGTGTTTTTGTGTTGTTAAAGACTTGTTTTTTTATTTTTTTCTTGCCTCTTCATTATACTTTGTTTCTTTTGCGTTTTCTCAGTGCACAGACATCTCTGATGTGGTTCCTGGTCTCTTACCAAGCAAGGACAAAGATGTGATGGTGGGCTGCTCTTTTGGCTGCTGCATGCCAGCTTATGATCGTAGTATCCTTATACAATAAGGCTGTAGATTCGATTACCGACATGACAATACTGCCTTCCTCATTTGGTTAGTGTTTAGCAAAGTGTTATTTCACTGCAGCAGTGTGAATAAATGTAATCTTGTAGCCATGCTATCAGCGTACAGTTCTAACGTGGCGTATGCCTCTTTATAATGTCTACTTTGTTACCAAGAACTGGCACATACTACGCGAAGCTCCGATTTCTACTTCAGTGTGGAAATCTGGCAAAAATGCTTAATTAAGGGCCACGTACTTCAGTGAGCAACAATTATCTGAACTAATGCAAGGCATTTTCACCTAACGTTCCAAGTGAGTCCTGCAAATTAAGGGGCTGAGGGTGAGATCGATTCAAGCAGGCTGTCCACAGAAGTCTCAATATGTTACTTGTGGCCACAGGTTTTCACAAAGCACTGGCGAGTAGAGTCTTGAGTAAACACATAATGTATCACTGGCTTGCTCCATTCAGGTTATTGCCGTGGTTAGACAGTAGGCCATTTATTGCTATCTCCATTACAGAGCGTTTCTCAGGCTGTGGTGGAGCTTTATCAGGAACAGAGCAAGACGGTGCAGCTCACTGAGAAGATAGATAAGCTTACTGAGCAGGTGAGAGTGTCTATCCTATCATTTTAAAAATATCAGTGGGTTATCCTGTTCCTTAACAGAGCTTGGGCGCATTCATTGTTTCAGATAAAGTAGGTGAAACTAGTGGGTACCTCGCACAGATGTTCTTGCCCACATTGCAGTTTGAAACTCTCAGAGATTTAAGGGGGCAGACTCGTCTTAGACATTTTTTTTGTTCATTTCTGCAATGATCTAGATCAAACTGCACAGGATTAGGCAGTTTTTTCTGCTGATTTCAAATATTTAATTAGTTTTTCTGTCATTCATCTTATTCTTGGTATAACTTCATCTTCTTCTATTCACCTTCATCTTCTATTGTTTAAGGCCGCCATAGAAAAAAAAGTGCTCAAGTAAAAATGGTATTTAAGGTATGCCAACATGAACTAATGACTATAGATTGAAAGTATGCAAGATTTTTGTTTTTGTTTTTAGGCCTTTTTTGTTTATTTTACAGCAAAATTAACTATCCATTTTCAAATGCAGTTGGAATTGTGTTACAATTTGTATGAGTAATTAATTAAAAAAGCTTGTGCTCTAAAGTCTTCTCCCGTACTTGCATTCTACACGCATACAGGTTTCCATTGCAAAAAGAATTATTCTTGTACCTGCCCTAGCTGCAGAGATATTGAGGCCTCAAAATTGAAGTTGTAAATTTACTTTTTTGAGAAAAATGGAAAAAACTGAAAACACACAGCTTCTTCAAAAAGCAACAATCATGATGTGCATGTCTTGCAATCCTCATAAAGGTGCTCATAAATTTGTAGCGGAGCTTCTAACACAGGTGCCGGCAAATTATAAAGAAGCCTTGAAGTCGGTTCTCTATTTTTTGCAGGTTCTGAATGTTGAAAGCACCTAGAATCTGGACAGTTCGAATGACATTACAAAAAAAATTACCTCTTCCTGATGTGTGAAAATTTGCAGAGAGATAGAAAAATACCTGCAAAAATCAAATATGCCAATTTTAAAAAATGAATTTTTTTGTCACTTTTTGGTTCCAAAGACCAGTCTGCCCCCTTAATGGGAACTATAAATTTTTTCTTCTTCATTCAGTGTATTCATTCATAATTTTTCATTCTTAAGTTAAGAATGTCTTAAGGACATTCTTTATTTTCATTAATGTAGTTTGCAGCTCTTTTGTTGTGTTTTTTTTTTCCAAGCTGCTATTGTAGCTTGTGCCCCTTAGTGGCCAAATGAGAAATCTAAATGAAAAATCTAAAGACTTTAGGCTGGTACCTGGGTCAGGGGTTGGCGCATAATAACTTGTTGCATTTTCGGACGTTTCTTGAACCTTAACTGTGCCCTGTTGCAGCTCGAGTACAAGACACGGCGAATAGAAGAGTTGGAAGACGTCACCTCCAAACTGCGACGGCAAGTGAGCGAGGCTGAGAGCAGGAATGCAGCATTTGCTTCACAGGCCACTACCAAGTAAGTCTGTTCAAAGTGCCATCTGTGCTCTCTGGGTCAGAATTCACAGAACTCTTGGCTCAAATGTCAATTTCTACTGAATTGATAAGTTGCTGCTGTGAGTTGGCCTAAAGATAATTGCTGTTTTCAGAAGAGCCTTCGCACGTAGAAAAGTTGTGGTAGAATCCACTGTGCGATTGAAACCTGATGCATGCAGTGAAATTTTGTTACTATGAATCTCATGCTAACAAACTTTCTAGATTGGCAAACATTTGAAAAGTCCACATGCAAGAGCCTATTGCGTTCACGTAAATAATGAGCTTGGGTTAAACCCGCAAAGGAGCAAGCATGGACTTATGCATACTTAAATGGCCCTGTTTTATAACATGCAATAACAAATTTTTCAGATAAAGTTGATTCGTAGTCCAGAGAATATGGTAAATCTACAAGCTTAAAGTGTGTATGTTCAACTACTTGACACTTGCTTTAATGCCTTGTGAAGTGTTAATCTTGTCAAGTGTTTGTTGTTCGGTTGTCTCCATATACTGTATTGCAGGCAGGCAGAGCTTGAGACAGCTCTTCTCGAGAAAGAAGCTTTGGTCAGGGCTCTGCAAGGGCAGTGCGAGGGCAAGGTTGCTGAGATTGAGGAGCTAAGGTGAGCATTCATTGTGGACGCTGCTGAATCTATAATCAGAAAAAATTCAAAGTGGGTCACTCATGCTCACAAGTAAGGTAGGTCATGATTGTGCTAAATATAATGCTTAAAATCAATTTTTTGGGGGGGGATGGACCAGTGTATTTTATATCATTATACTATAGGGAATTGTTAAGAGCTAATGTATTTACAGTGCGTGTCCTCTCACTGCACCCAGCTGCTAGTTGGGAACAGCTTTCTCTGGAAATCTTTGAACTTGGACAAAAAAAAGAAGCTGCTGAAATGTTTTACTCTGTCTCAGCTGTTCTTATGCATTGAGAATATTCGATCTGAAATTACTCTCTCTTTCTGTCACTTTACTTGTTTACTTTACTGTTGTTGCTTTAATTTGGGTGTTTCAGTGACGACTTCCCACTGTGCTAGGCGTCAAGAGCACAATAACAAAAAGGAACAGAAAAAAACAGTACCTGAAGCTAAGGGAGTGTTTGAAATGCACAATTCACAAATTAATTTCACCTGCTTTCCTCTTGCCTCATGTTAACTGTGGCAGAATCCACAGAACTCAAATTGCAGTGAAAATTTTATTATGTGAAATCCATATTGGAGATTGTGGAAAACTTTCACTGTGCCGCAGCAGCTGGAACAAGGAGAAATGTTTTGAAATTTGATACGCTTACTTGTGAACAAAAAGTGTTGACAAATTGATTTATCAATGCAATGATTTTGTTTTCATTTAGTGTTTGTTAAGGCTGAGTAAACAGCCCATCGATATGGAGATAACTACGCACAATAAATTGAGAACATGTTGCCGCAAAAATGTTTGCAAGGAAGTGCTGTAATAAGAAAGTGAGAGGGGTTATAACAACCGTATTGTCTGGTTTCAGCTTTTCGCTCGGCCTCCCCTCTCTTCTTGGCCGTGTAAAGCGATAGGTATAGCCTGCTGCGACTAAGCTCAGATCACCAATATAATGTAATGCGACGTCAGTGGTTATATCAACACTGCACTGCTAACAATCTAGCATAGTTTCCTCCATGTGTCACACGGGTCACTTACTTGCACGCAGCATAGTGAGGAAGTGTGGTGCGAGGCATTGACGTGGTAAACAAATATGTGACAGGCGTGGCAGCTGCGTGGTCAAAACTGCATAACTGCAGGGGTACCACACAGTTTCGTGGTACAGATGACCAATGGACAACGCCAGTGCTACGCAACATTGCTCTTACGCAACACTAAGTCATTTAGCGGGTGAAAAGGACTGCTCAGGCATAGAAGGGCATGGACATCTGCCTTCTTCACGATGCCCCAGTGCAAGTGCCCTTTCACTAGCACAAAAGTTGCAACACATCTCTTCATACTGGAGGTTCTGCCTTTGGGCATAATGGTTGTCCCTGTCCCTACCAGAATGGCTGCGGGCAGCACAGGAAAATGAGGGGTGTATGGTTTCTTGAAATAGAGAGTCTGTGTGGCACACAGGGCTGCAATGTTTGCATGTTGCGATTGCCGTGACCTTCGGCATGAACAAGTGGGCTTGTTTGGAAGGTGTAAAAAAGAAAGGGTTGGAGCTTGTTTACTGGCCCTTCAATTAAACTGCTTTGCATGGTGGTGTTTTGTGAAGCGTACCTAATATAGGTTGCTTACAGGATTCCTCGTTGCATTTCTCAATCTTCATGCAGACGTGCCCTGCTGACGGCCGAGAAGAACAGTAATCGTGCACGCCGAGACTACGCTGAGCTGCTGCAAACTTGGCAGAATTACGAAAACTCCAATGATGCTGGTGAGGTAAGTAGCGCTCAAAGAAAGCTATGATGAAGTTGTGTATGTGGACTGTTTGGTGACAACAAATCTTAATGATGTACAGCACACATTCGTGCGTGTGGAACAGCAGTCTGGCGCAGCTGCTTCGCGCGACACGGAGAGAATGAAGCTCCAGTCTGAGAGGCAGGCACAGGAACTGGCAGAACGTGAGAGCCAGATTGAGGTGTTGCGTCAAGAAGTGGAGCGCCTCAAGAAGGACTTGGAGTTGCTGCCTCCTCTCCAGGCACAGGTAGGAAACTGCAAGCTTTTTTTTTTTGCAGTTCAAAGGTAGCAAAGTAAGAGCTCGTTAATTCGACTCCTGTCAATGTGAGAAAAATTGAGAAAAACGCATTCTCTGGTTCCAGCTAGCGTACCGTATTTTCTCGCATATAACCCGCCCTCGCATATAACCCGCTCCCCTAACTTTGAACTCCCCGAAAAAAGAAAAAAAATCCTCGCGTATAACCCGCATGCTTAGCTTAAAAAAAACTGTTTTGGGAAGTCACAGTCACAATCTCGTTTACAAAAGAACTTTATTTCGAAGCGATCGCCGCAACGTTGACGGCGCCGATTCCCGTTCCTTCAATCATCGCCCGACTCGCCGCTGTCGCTGCTGCCATCCGAGGCTTCGTCGCCGCTCTCGAAGACGCAATCATCTTCGGTGCCATCCAAGCAATTGCTGATGGCGCACTTTTTGAAACTCTTGCGCACCATGTCGGCCGGAATCGCCCCCCACGCATCCACGATCCACTGGCACAGCAGCGCAATGTCTGGCCTCCGCACGCGCCCCGTCGGTGTGAGGGCGTAAAGGCCGTCGGCCATCCACTCGGCATACAGCCGCTTCACGTGCGCCTTGAACGGCTTATTGAGGCACACGTCCAGTGGCTGTAGCATGGAAGTCATGCCACCGGGTATGATCACGAGGTCGGTGCGGTGGTCAGCGAGGCGCGCTTTCACTGCGTCAGTGCAGTGGCCTCGAAACGAGTCCAACACCAGCACCGACCGCCGTGCCAACATGGCGCCCGGCCTCTTCTCCCAGATCGTGCGAAGCCAGTCACAGACGAGGTCACCATTCATCCACGCGTTATCTTCGGTTCGCACAACAATCCCTGGTGGCAGTGGAGTGCTGGGTAGCGTTTTGCGCTTGAAGATTACATACGGGCGCAGTTTGGTACCGTCCGCCAAAGCGCACAACATTACTGTGCAGCGTAGTTTGGTGTTTCCGCCCGTCAGTACGCTTACAGATTTCGAGCCCTTTTTCTGCAGAGTGGTGTCCATGGGCATCTCGAAGTACACGGGCGTTTGATCGGCATTTCCCACCTGGGAGAGCAAGTAGTTGTGCTCCTTCCGCAGCCCGATGACGTAACGTTGATAGCTCAACAGCTTATCCTCGTAGGCGTTGGGAAGCCGCTGGCACATAGTCGTTCGCCGCCGCATCGAAAATCCGTGCCTGGCCATGAATCGCTGGAGCCATCCACGGCTCGCACGAAACTCGCGTGAGATGTTCATCTCGCGGGCCAACCTCAGCGCTTCCATCTGCGCCATCTCCGTTGACACAGCGTGGCCGCGACTCCTCCGCTCCTCAATAAATTTGACAAGCTGCGTCTCAAGAAGGGGGTACGCACCAGTCTTCGGGCCGCGAAATGCTCGCTTCTGCTTGTGTGCACTTTCGAGAGAGGCCTTTTTTTTTCGCCAGTCGCGAATGCAGGACTCGTCGACATCGTGCCTCCTCGCAGCAGCTCTGTTGCCGATTTCTTCCGCAGCAGCTATAATCGCGAGTTTTTCTTTCGCGGTGAAAGATTGTCGCCGAGACCCACTCATGGTGCCTCACCAGACAAAGCTGACCAACGGTGCAAACTGGCCACACCTGACTCTGAGACAGACGCTGTCAAATCGCTGTTGTGACGCTGTTGACCAAATCAAACAAAGCACGCAAAAAGTGAATAAACACGCTACGGACGGGATCTGTCTATGGCCTATGTTGGCTTTTATTGGCTTTGCACCAGACGATGCCGATGGGGATGCGGACTGCACGGCAGGCTATGCATTGCCGTGAAGCCGACCTCTGCTTCCGGATTATTCGCAGATAACCCGCACCCCCACTTTTCAGGCGATTTTTTTCAATTTTTGGTGCGGGTTATATGCGAGAAAATACGGTATGCATTGTTCAATGGCATCCAATTTTTATTCGTTTGGTCATACTTAAGTACAACCTGGTTAGTTTGGATGAACTTTTGAGCGCAAAGTAGTGAAAAGGGCATTCACGTACAACTGAATTAAAGGCAGCACAGTCTATATTCCCACAGTCAGCATGAACCTTACTGTAATTACATTTCAGGTTAGCACGTTATGGGTTAGTTAAGGTAGAGAGGTCTTCAGTGGAGGCCATGTTGTGGACAGTCAAGAGTGGTGTTTAACGATTCTACACCGCTCATATGCGAAGTACACAAATCGTATTCACTGAGAAAATGAAAGTGTGTTGATGAGATAGGCATTTGTTTATTGTATTCTTGATACTTCTTGGTAATTTGGAATTTGTTTCATTCAGACATATTTCCCGGTTCCATGAAATTCGAATCAAATAACTTCGCTATACCTGCCATGGTATAGTTGTTGCAAGGGACACTAAAGTCACACTAAATCAGTTTATTTCTTTGTGAACTCATAATTTTCTGGTGATAAGTGGCGTTATTGGTAGAGAGAGGGGGAAACTTTATTCAGTTGGAAGGAGAATCTTGGAGCCTCTATGGCTGGGGCTCTATGTTCAGGGTTTTACTACTAGCCTCATCTGATGCTTGGCTTGATTTAGAAGAGCAAGTTGAGCTCCCAGGTCCAAACTGGCAAGTTGTGTCTGCCACTGCTCCATACGAGACATTTGAGTTCTGCCAAGAAAATTGGCTAGGTTGCTTGGTTCACTGATGTGCCCCGACGAGAGAACTGGCCTACTGATGAACCCCAGGCACACGGCTGGGTAAAACGCTGGCAGGCGAGAATCTCCCCAGATGGATTGATGCAGCCAACAAAATACAGTTGAACACACCTATAACAATCTCAGCTATAACGATCTTTTGATTATAACGACCATATTTTGATGCAGTTACGTTTTTTGTATGCTATCGAAGATTTTTGGCATCCAAAATTTCTCATGTTCCTATATATTGACGCTTCGAGGCAGATGTAGAACTCCGTACTTGAAGGGAGCACACCTTGTCAGTCACATCAGTTGGGCTTCCACCGAAATTGAAAGAGGGGGAGAGGCTGAGTAAACAGCATCTTTGCCTTTTATGTGTATAGTGTTGTCGGTAACACTTTTGTTCGCCCAAATCATGTACATAAATACAATTGGGCCTTTCCATTGCCTCATTCTTGATGAGACGTCTAAGAAATATCGCCTAGCAACTCTTCATCAACCTAGCCAAAAGAACTGCTTCCATGTTCCTACAGTTGAACTCCACTACAACAAACGCCGCTTCAATGAAATTTCTGCTACAACGAAAAATTCACGATTCCCCGTCAGCAGTCTATAGGAGTCAACGTATAAATAATGCCGCCACAGCAAACACTTTTTCTTGAATCGTCCCGCTTCAACAAAATTTTACAATGCTATTCCAGGCTCAGATACCGTATTTACTCGCATAATCCTCGCACTTTTTTTTTGACGGAAAACTAATGCAAAGTTGGGGGGTGCGAGAATTGCGCGGGGAAAACGTTCCACGAAAATGTAGAGAACGAAAAAGAAAATGAGGTGGCCGTAAAACGGGATTCTCACACCAGCAACTAACAGCAAGCTTTGAGAACTACTAGCTAATTAAAACTTACCTCAACAATAAAACTCAGGTTCAACACAAGGCAAAATTTATTTGAGACACAAAAAGTGCAACCAAATAGTAGAGAATTAGAATACCATACACAAAGCTTGTAGGCGTTGTGTGCCTAGCGGTAGCCGTGGCTCAACAGGAGCCTTCAAAATGTAAGCGTGGGACGTCAGTATTGGGATGATGGCTATTTAACAGAATTGTCCGCAGTTTCCTTCTTGAGAAATAAAGTTTAGCATTAATCCCAAGGGCCTACCGGCGGCCCTGTTGCGGTTCTTTAGTGCATTATCTATCACTTGCAACTTCAAAGCAGCCGTACAGCTTCAGTACCGGCTCATAACTTGACAAGGTTACCGACGCAACATACAAAACATGCCGCAACGCACACTGGCCACTTCGGCTTGGCTTGGTTGGATTGAATCTTTGTGCAATAGTATGCTTGATGCTTAAGAGATGGCGCCAGATGGTGCATTTCTATCATCATCAGTGGTTGGAACGAGTAGAGGACATTATTGCGGCAGTTTTCGGGGGTGCGATAATTACTTGAGGGAAAAAAAAGTCGTATTTTATTGGGTGATGTTGGGGGTGTGAGAATTATGCGAGTGCGAGGATTGCGCGAGTAAATAGGGTACTTATTTCTATGCAGTCAACCCAATCTTAATATTTCGATGCATTTTCAGAGCCCCTATGCTGCTGCTGTTCAGCAAACATGGGCGCCACCATTGCTCGATAGCGATGTCAATGAGACTACCCTGCTTTTGCCACCGGCTTGCTTTTGAGCTGGAGACAATCCGAAGCTGAAGCTCAGTCGCTCAGTGGTTTCCTTCACGTAGCTGCTGGGTACAACCACAGAACGATGCCTTTTCCGATTCCGTTGCTTATTATTATGTTCGCGCTTGGCCAGTGGGGTAACGAATCAGAGCGGCTATTCGTCCGCATTATCAACAAAATCACCTAGCCGTGAGTGGTGGATGACAAGAATGACATAGAATACAGTCGCCGACCGATTTTTCGGACCTGGCGGGGACCGAAAAAAAGTACGAAAAATCGAACAGTCCGAAAAATTCGTTTTCGCCAAAAATCTGAAGTTTATTGCATCAGGCAGGTTTAAAAAAGTCCTTGATGCTGCCTTGCCTCAAACTACGCTTGGAGGCGATTTGGTTTGCTCGTATTTGCGCCAAGGTGACATCGTCACCGTAAACGCTCGACAAAATTGTCACCGCGTTGGCGATCTCCGCCGCCGACGGCTGCGGGCGGTCGTCGTTGTCTCGTCATCCGAGCCGCTCTCCGGCTCCGGGACAACCTGGCGAAGAATTTCGTCGTCAGTGGCCTCCGCGCACGAAACAATGAAGTCGTCCGCACGAGTGAAGTCTTTAAATGTCATTGTGGCAGGTAGATTCACTCCTACGCTGCGCAGGTCGTGCATTAGGTCCTCCCCGCCATCGGTGCCGTCCGGGTCGCTTGCGTCCGGGTTATCCGCCTCGGGCTCTTCAGCAGCAGCGAACCCGGCATGCCTAAAGCAATGCGCGATGGTATCTGGCTTCACCGCCTTCCAAGCTTCGGCTAACATGTGGATGGCCGCCAGAATGTCGACCTTGTAGGCCTTCCCATTGCAAGGCACAGGACGGTGCGGCTGAGCAGGTGGGCACGGTAGTGTGCCTTGATGTTTCGGATCACGCCTTGATCCATTGGCTGGAGCACGCTTGTGGTATTAGGCGGCAAAAATTCCAGCCGAATGGCCTCAAGGTTCGGCACGCTACCGTGCGCACCACAGTTGTCCACAAAAAAGATTACCTTTCTGCTCTGTCGCGCAAACTTGCGGTCAAGTTTGCGTACGTAATGTTCAAACAAGGACTGAGTGATCCATGCCTTGGAATTACTCTCGTATTCAACAGGGAGGGTTCTCACAGCCTCAAAACACCTCGGGTTTCTCGCCTTCCCAATAACAAGAAGAGGCAGTTTCTCCGTACCGTTGGCGTTGGCACCTACCACGACTGTTATGCGCTCCTTGCTGAGCTTCCCACCGGCGCATGAATCCCCCGAAAATGATAGGGTACGATCCGGCAGCATCTTAAAGAAAAGTCCCGTCTCGTCACAGTTGAATATGTCCGAAGGAGCGTATTCTTTAAGCAAGGCTTGCAACTTCGTGGCACAGTAATCGGACACAATAGTCTGCTCCACCGCTCTGCTTTCACCGCTCACTTTTTTGAACAAAATTCCGTGCCTCTTCTTGAAGCCACGAAGCCATCCGTCCGTAAATTTGAAATCCTCAATGCCCATTTTGACAGCGAACGACTCGGCCTTTTCTTTTAACAAATCTCCCGACACGGGCAGGTTCTTTGCCAAAACTCCTTTAAGCCACAACTGCAGAGCCTCTTCAAGGGCTGGATGAACGCCCTTACTGTCGTTCTTTTGGCTCTTGTTGTGTGAATTCTCGAACGCTGTCAAAATCTTAATGCGGTTTTTGACATAGTCGGATACCGTTTGCTTGGAGAGGTGGTATTCTTTGGCGACATCTAGCTGTGAACGTCCACTCTCTATTAGCTTGATTATGGCAGCTTTCTTCTCCATCGTCAGGGTCGTATACTTCCCACGCTTATTCACACCACCTGGCTCCCGCGATGGCACAGATGGCGGAGCCATGGCACCGAGAACACAAAATTCGATGCCGCAGATAGCCGCTGCGAAGCACACAACGTCTCGATGCTACGCGACACAACACGTGCAAAATGGCGACTGAAAAAAGCTGCAACGACAATAAAAGAATCCTTCTTTCGCCTCCTCCCCGTGCGATGTGATGACGATAGTGCTGACCGAAGACGAAAAAACGGCATCCATCACCGCGTCTTTTAAAAAGCAAACACGGCCTCCGAAACTTAAAATATGGCGTGCGCATTTCAATCTCGGAGGCAGGAAAGGCATCTGAAGACCAAGCTTAGCTAAGCCGACGGAAAATCCAACATGGCGGCGTTCACAATGGCTTGGGGCGTGGCACAAAACGAGCGATTTAGTCGCTCGAACTTTCAGGGGCAAATTCGCCCGAAAAATCGGTCGAAACAATGCATTAGCTCTATGGGATCCCTGACGGTGCATTTATGAAGTCCGGAATATCCAACAAGTCCGAATTTTTGGAGTCCGGAAAGTCGGTCGGCGACTGTAATGCAAAAGTCCCCGCTCCACAATACCCTGCCTCCATCTCGGCGTTGTTAGATACTTTTGAGGGCTGACTGCTGCTGGTGTTAACGTGTTAATGCAACTGTTTGGTTCGTTCACGAAGGCAGTGCAAGCATTGTTTCAGGGTGCTTTTCACCATGGCCTCGCTATGCATGGGTGAGAATGACATCTTGACGCTGCTGGGGAAGAATCGGAAGGAGTGAACATTTTTTGAATTTCGACAATAAACATTGCTTTGTTTTGCTAGCTCAGATCGGCTATATTTTTTTTATTTCACTACAACCAAATTTTCGCTTCAACGAAAATTTTTTTTTGCACCCCGTCAGTTTCGTTGTAGGGAGGTTTAACTGTATCTCATAAAATATGCGTAGGAATTCTCTACTACATCTGCATTTTTGCTTTAAACCATTTGTAAATTATTTTAGAAATATTTGAGAAATATTTCGAAAACATTCAGTTCGATTTGCACTCCCCCCTAAATATCTTAATTTGCTTCACACCCAAGATTTTGCTATTCGCACAGCTCTTGTGCACCTTAAATAGCCCTCGCTGGTAGTATTATAGGGCATGCCTCAGTCGCATCGTGGTTCTGGCATACAAAATTATCAACAACTACGTTTTGATCAAGAGATACCACAGTGTCTCTCACAGTAGCCAGGTAAATTAATCGGAGGCCCGAAATCTCTTTGTGACAGGGGCCATAGATGCCGAGATGTCAATGGTGTCAGTTGTCACATGGTGATGCGCATACTATATTGAAGCAGCTGCCAAACGAAATTGCCCCACTTTCCACATCCACAGGTGGAGGTGTACCGCACGGACTACGAAACGGAGCAAAATCTGCGCCGGCAGCTCGAGACAACGGTGCAGCAGCATTTGAACACCATCGAGGAGCTCCGTGAGCAGATCAATGCCCTGCAGGAACCACCACCAGAGCTGAGGAGTAGCAACAGCAGCAACCAAAGGTAAAGCAGAATGCTGTTCAAAGAAACTGTGCTGCGTAGATGAGACCAGAGCAGTTGCTAGCAATTGTAGCACACTCGCATCTCCATGTCGTGCCTGATCCGCCCATCTACCGTTACTCCAAGTGACCTCACTCATTTGTTTTTCTTATCAGGAGTTCGTCTTATCAGAAGTACCCCCAAAAACAGGGTGCTAGCATCTTAAGTATAGCAGACTCTCAGTAAGTGGAAACCTGTTAAATGGAACTACTGCTTAAACAGAACTATTGCCTCTACAATGCTTGGTTTCGTGCTTGTATTCTGCACCCATGTTCACCTCTCGGTAAACGAAACTCCTGTTAAATGGAACACATTTTGCCGGTCCCTTCAGGTTCTGTTTATTGAGAGTCTACTGTACACCTAAATATGCCGCTTGAAAACATGGAATTAAGTACAGTGGACTCCCAATAAACGAAATTCGCTAAAATGAAAATGCTTCATTAACAAAACTAAACGGGCTCATATGGCTGGATTTCTATGTGTTGTGCAGTAAAATTCATCAGTTAATTGAAACAGTGTCTATTGGTCATTTATGGTTAAACGGCATAAACTCTATAAACACAGCATAGACTCGCTTATACCAAAGGTAGTCTCACAACCATGGCAACACCTTGAGATCGAGACAATCTAATCCAGTAGCCATTCTTGCTTGTGGCTGTGGGAGCAGAGTCTGCGAGTAAATTGGGCGTTAAACCTATTTGTGCGGCTAAGCGCGGTGGGTCACGGTGTTATTTTAGCCCGATGGAAACGAAGCGGCCGCACCATGCACTCTCGCTTGAAAAAAAGCTGCAAATTATTTAGGAGCTTGATCCAAGCGGCCTGCCCAAGATGGAGATGGCGAAAAAATGCATCCCGAAATCGAAGCTGTTGAGGATCTGGAAAGACAGAGAAATGATTGAAGAGACTGATAAGAACGGCACCTTTACATCTAAACGGATGCGGATGACGCTTTAGGAACAACTACAAACAGTTCTTTTTCTGTGGTTGAAGCGTGCACGGAGTTCCAATTCGCCCATAATCGGACCAATTCTTGAGCAGAAAGCTGGAGGTCGTGCCCTGTGCCCCTTTCACGCTGCAGGACTACGAATCAATTGATGAAAATGTTCGTACCTGTCGTCAAGAGACTGTGAAGGATATGATTGCCAAAGTGCTAGATAAGGATCAATCTTTCAGCGATGAATGTGATGATACTGCCTGTGCAGTGGTGCCACTACAGCAATCAGCTAAAGAGGCTGTTGAACTTTTGCAGCGCTATTTTGAGCATGAGGCTTGTCCAGAATTTCCAGCTAGTTTGTCAGGCATGGGTGCATACTTTGTGAAAAAACAACTCAAGCCTGCCAAGCAAACCACTCTTTCCTCTTTTTTTCTCCCTACTCATCCTCATGAGTAAGGTGACGTTTGTGCAATTTGAAAAAAGGTCTTTGTTCACTAAATAAGTGCACTTTGCTTAAACGAAACTTCTGTAAATGGAACAGTTTTATGGATCCCCTTCTAGTTCCGTTGAAGAGGAGTCAAGTGTATGCTTAAAAAAGGGAGGAAAGGAGCGAGAAAAACATTTATTTGGCTCAGCTTGATAAAAACTGTGCTTTCATATCGAGTATTTAGACTAGTCTAGAGAGTACTCGGTTTCATGATTTAATAATAAATATGCTCATGAATAAATTGCTACTACATTTTAACAATAGAACTGTAGCACAACCCTTTCTTCACCTACAGGCTAGGGGTGAGGAACACACCAGCTTTACGTGCTGGCCTTTTTTTCTCTTTTTTTTTCACTTATCTCGCTTTCTTTATCCTCATCACAATTAGCTTTCGGTATGCTTTGAGTCTTGGCACCAGAAGTTCTCTCTCTCTTTTTAGTTTGCTTTCTCAGTTTGCCTGAATGCCCCCGGCATTACTATAATGTTTGTTGCGCAGAATCTTCATCGTTGTCGAATGCTGCGAGAATTCGTATTAACAGAAGAGACACGTTACGCTGTTCGTCTTAAGCAGATTTTTTTGCATTGAGTCTATAGGAAACCAAACAAACACTCCCATATTGTTCGTCTAAAGCAAGAATTTGTCTTAACAGAGTTCATATTAAAGGGAGTACACTGTATTTTAATCATCTGCCTGATGTCTTCATGTCTTATGTGAAGGCCTACACAAAGTACAACACTTATGGCCTGTACATGCGCTACCCGCTTAGCCGCAACGCACGTGTCGGCACACCTCCCGCACCAACACGGACTATACAAGAGTGTCGTCGAATCGCATTTGCCATCTGCTTGGGTGTGGCAGATGTCCCAACACAGTGTAAAGGGGGGACGCGGGTCTAGGAACGATAAAAAAAAATGAAAAAAAAAATGAATTTTGTTTCTAAACCTATTTTTGGGACGTTTGTACCTTTGAGCATCTACTCTCAAATTACTAATGCCAAATTCGGTCGTAAAATGTGATAAAGTGAGCCTTCGAAGCACCCCAGCAGCAGTAAAATGCTTTCAAAAGAACAAAATCAGTTCAAACTTCGCGCCCGCGTCGTGAGCATTGCAGAGGGCTGAACGCCGCCATTATGAGCTAGATTTGAAGCTATTTCCTTTGTGCATAATTTGCGCAATCTCAAAATGGCGTCGTCTGAGCGAAATGGCTACCATCGCGGGTTTTCTGAAGGTCGTTACCGCGTTGCTGATTGGCTCTCACTCGGCACGCCTTTTGAGTGCATTGTACCGGGGCTCCCATTGGCTGACGTGGTCGGTGCGCTTTTCAAGAGCGCTGCTCCACGTTTCTCATTGGCTCGCATGACCAAGACATTTTTTTTTTTTTCTTCCGCATTAGCGGTTGTGGCTGTCCGATCTTGTACGTCTGTTCTTGCACTCATGCATCTTTCTCGGCGCACGGTGTTCGTTCTTTTGCGCCGGTAGTTTATCCATGCGATCGAGATGTCCGGAGACTCTCCTCTGAAACCATCCTCGCAACAAGCTTTTCGAAGCAGTCAAAAGCGGTCTAGATCAAGAAGGTGCTGGCTAGAAGTACACCGTTGGGTCGAGAGTTTGGTGGAGTCGGTGTCCATTAATCATCTTTACGCTTATGATCTGCTCCCTGTGCAGAATGATTGCACGAGCAGCGGAATAGAGAGCGCATGTCATTCTCCGCATACAAAGGCGATTGAACGAAGAGTGAAGGTGCGTCCACTTGGTTTCGCCGTGATTTTGTAAACGCGCTTGTCAGATACGTGAAATCTATGCAGTTCCCTGCCCATCCTGCACTGTCTTGGGACGCTACATTTGTGTGTGCCTGACATAAGTGATGCTAGGCTCATAGCGACCTTACACAGGGCAGCATGCTGCCCAACTTCCAGGCAGTCGAATTATGATTGACGTGCAGGCAGCAAATGAATGCGAATTGAGTGTTCATTAAGGGGGGACGCGGCACTTCGGGACCGAAAATCAGCCAAAAAATCGAGTTTTCGCGGACCTTCTTTTCGCGTTCCCGACATCATTGCGCACCTATTTACAAAATTTCATAGCCGAATACCATCAACTTTTATCGTTATTCAACTTTAAAAAACCGAAAACGGGCGTCCTGCCCTTTAAATTGAGGGCGAATAGCGCAGGTTTCGGCTCTACGATACGCGGGAACTACGCGCTCGATCGGCGCCATTTTGGTCTTGTTTGAAAGAACGCGTTTTCAGCTGTTTTTTTTATTCAGTAAGCAACATTGAGCGTTTCCCCGGCTCGAAAAACGGGGCCTCAAAGACGAAGAGCCGCGCTCACTGCCATTGGCTAAACGGCGCACGTGACTGAAATGGCGCGTGACTGAAATGGTGGCTACCGGCAACGGCCAAACGAAAATGAACGATATTTTCGCAACAATGGGCATCTCACACCGCAGTATGCACCACAAGACGTTTCAGCGGCATTTGAAGAACACGCTGGCACCCGCTGCAACGCGAGCGGCTGAGTCCGCTATGAGCAAATGTGCGGAAAAGGTTAGAACAATTTATGATGACTTGTGCTTCGGCCACCGGGGCAATATTGCCGTTAGCTACGACGGCACGTGGAAGACGCGAGGCCATTCTTCCCACATCGGCATGGGCACAGTTATCGAATTATTTAGTGGCTACGTGTTGGACTACGTCGTTCTTTCCAACTTTTGCCTAGGCTGCGAGGTGGGCCCAAAGCCTAGTAGTGAGGGCTATCAAGAATGGAAGGCTAACCACAAATGCCAAAAAAATACGAACAGCAAAGCGGGGCAAATGGAAGTGGAGGCGGCTCAAATTCTATTTCAGAGGTCGCTTGAACGCCATGGCCTGCGCTACACAACTATGCTGTCTGATGGAGACTCTAGGACATTTTGCGCCATACAAGACGCCAAGGTGTATGGTTACATTGACGTGCAGAAGGAAGACTGTATTAATCATGTACAGAAACGGATGGGCACCGCATTGAGAAACCTGGTGCAGAAACAAAAGTGCGATGGGAAAAGAGGCCTTGGTGGGAAAGGCAGGCTCACAGGTGAGCTGATCACCAGGCTGAGCACATATTATGGCCGGGCTCTGAAATCGCATGAAGGTGACGTGGGCGAGATGCAAAAGGCTGTGATGGCCACATACCGCCACGTCACCTCCACTGATGAATGCTCGGACCACAGTCTGTGCCCAGCTGGTGAAACTTCATGGTGTCGGCACAATGCCGCAAAAGCAAAGGGTGAGCCCGACCCCAGGCATGCCTACAATCTACCGAAAGACGTGGCAGAGGCATTACTACCGGTTTATACCCGGCTTTCGGAAAGAGCCCTGCTTCAGAGGTGCGAACGCGGCAAAACGCAGAACTCCAACGAGAGCCTACATTCGGTAATCTGGAGTTTGGCCCCCAAGGAGCACCATGCGTCCCTGTTCGCTGTTGAAGCAGCTGTTGCAGAAGCAGTGCTGCGCTTCAACACGGGCAATTTGAATTCTGCAACGGCAATCTTAGGTGAAATGGACATGAATGCGACAAGTACTGGTGCCAGGAGAGCGAGAGAAAAAGACCACCGTCGCAGCATTGTCTCCAACAAGAAAAGAACAGCCTCATTGGAACTCCGGAAGCTAGTGAAGAGGAGGCATGAGCACAGAATGCATTCAGACTATGCTTCTGGTGCGTTTTGAGGTTGTCTTGTTGCATCTTCTGCAATAAAAATGTGTGCCCACGTTTGTTCTCGATTTCTCAAAACGACAATTTTCATGTGCTTCCCATTATGCCGGAGCAATATCTCTTGTTCTATCTGGGTTATCATTACGATTTCTTTTTTGTTTCGAAGATAAATGCAGTGGATGTGTCGTAAAGTAAGTTTTATTGTAATAATTTTTGGAGAAAATTCTCTAAATGGATCTTTTGTTTCAAGTGTAGATGGGGAAATTTTTCATGTCATATTCAACATCCCACAACTTTGCTTCGAAATAGCCCAGAACAATGATTTATACTTTATTGCACACTGTGAACATACCGAATTGGTTCTATAGGTTGCACATCAATATCCAAGTTACAGTTAATTAGCTAATTAGGCCTTAATTGAAAAAGTCGCAGTTCATTATATCTTTAAAACTGATTGTCACAGCAAAAAAAAGAATTAGATTTTTGAAATCAGCAGTAAAATCTACATAGGCTCTCCAAATTTGACTGAGGTACTCGCAAAAATAAAAGAGTTTTTGGAAGGTGTAGCATCCCCCCTTAATTTAGGAGGAAGCAGTGGCTTTAGTTTCATACCCTATAGTCTTTCCGGGACACCCTCCCCTTCAACTACTTGCCATTGTGGAGCTCGAATTTTGCTCTCCACATTGGAAATTTGTTTTATTTTTAAATGATTTCTTAGATGAAATAAGACACTTTCTGTTTTGTTTAGCAGGGAAACAGATAGGGAACATCTAAATGAAATTTATTGTTGAAGAATCCTTTTCGAAATTTCCGCAGCGAGTGTCAAAACTTCAAATGCAATTTTCTCAGCTTCACATTTTTTTGCCAGCCCGACCAGCCTTACGGAACTTTTTCTTATGTTTTTGTAAGCCAATTTCAATAAATGTTATGCCGTTGAACTCTGTAAGGAATCAAACTGTGGAGCTATGCTATTTTTAAGGCTAAGTTGAACATACAATTTTTTTTTGTTTTTGCAGGTCTTCTGAGTCCAACTCCACATTTGCTGCACAGCAAACTAGTGCTCAAGTAAGCGCCCTATTTCTGTACATGTTTTCATTTGTCTTTTTGCAGCAAAGTGTTCGCTTTTTGAATGAGCACCTGAAAAACCAGCAGAATACTTTAGACTCTTGATCTTCGCCTTCAAATAGAACGCAATAGTGTAATCGTGCCTCATGTTACCTCATTCACTAGCCTGACCATGTTCTCAGTGGGCACCTAAACCGTGCCGAAGGGACACGAAATCTTTTTATTTAAACTTGGTTGGAAAAAAAAAAGTTGTGAGAAGAGATTTGTGAGTGCCCTTGAGCGACGGTGCAATCACTTTGTGCCGTATTTCAGTCAGCTGCAACACCTCAATCATTGGCGTGACTAGTGTGCTCTCAGACTTGCTTGGCTGGAGGCTTGACTTGGCCCGAAGCCACCAATGTTGCAAAAAATGAACTGTGCAATGAGTGTGCAGAGAGTGGCGTGGTCAAGTCTGTTATCAGTCCAGGTCAACACGGCAACAGTACGCTTTATGTGCCCAACATTGAAGATATATGCGGCTAATTTCATCTGCTGTTACCGATAATCTGTTGCTTCGCAATCCGTCGAAAGCTAACTTCCCTCCATTAATTTAACACTCAAACCAAACTTGGCCGGAATAATGGTCCATTGGATCTGAAAGTCTGTAGTACAGTGAAACCTTTGGTAGAACGAACCCCACATTAACGAAATTTTCAGATTAATGAACTTTTAAAAAAATCTCATGGTGACGGCTAATACCGTATAAACCGGGCTATAGGTCGAGTGGGAATATAGGTCGACCCCCCCAAGTTCAGGTTACCGAAAAAGAAAAAAAAGGAAGACAACCCAAAACTGCGGAACCACATTTATTCGCGAATTGGGTGCACCGCACCCCGCTAGTCGGAGCTCCCCTCAACCACCATCGCAACTGCTCCTATTCGTCCGGCAAAGCACCACTGTCTTCTGAAGACGAGAGTTTGTCGCTGGCCGCCTCCCACAGTGCCATCCAGCGAGTTGCTGATGCAACATTTCTTGAAAGCATTTTCCACCATGGAATCCGGCAAGAAGCGCCAGGCGGAAAGCACCCAGCCACAAACAGTCGCAAGCGGAGGCCTCTGTAGACGGCCCGTCGGTGTCTTGGGGTTGTCGCCGGACATCCACTCTTGGTATTCCAGCCACACTCGTTCCTTGAACGGCTTGTTGAGCACAACGTCGAGCGGTTGGAGGGTGGACATCATACCACCTGGTATCACGGCGAGGTCCGTTTTCCCATTGCCGAGTGCGCGTTTCACTGCGTCGGTTAAGTGGCCACGAAATGCATCCAACACGAGCATGCTGCGAAGACGCAGCAGTGCACCTGGCCGACGGTTCCACACCACTCGTATCCAGATCATGGCCTCGTCCATGTATCCCTTTTTGTTGACGCGAACGACAACACCGGGCGGGAATACTTCCTTCGGCATTGTCTTGCGTTTGAAAATGACGAAGGGTGGAAGCTTTCTACCATCTGCTGTGCATGCCAGCGTGACGGTGAAGCACCAGTACTCGTTGCCAGTGGACAACAACTTCACATCCTTGGCGCCGCGCTGCGTGGTCGACGAAGGCATGTCAAACCACACGGAGGTCTGATCGGCGTTGCCGATGAACTCATCCGGCAACTTTTGACAGATGGATGTGCGCCGCCGGAGAAAAAATCCTTTGCGTCGCATAAATCGACGCACCCAAGAGTTCGGTGCTCGAAACTCTTTTTTCGTGAGCCCAGCTTCTCGAGCGAGTTCCACGGCTTTCTTGCGAATGGTATCGACGGTCACTGGCAGCGAGCGCACACGAACTTACCCCACAAAGTCCACTAGCTTATCCTCCAGCTGCGGCTGAACGGCACTTCATCCACGAAACGACATTATTCGAGGATTGCATATCTGCAGTTTTTCTTTCTCGCTTTTTTTCCGATACACCAAAGCGGCGCTGAGCAGCCATATTGCCGTTCGCTTCTGCGAACTCAACATCTAGTTTAAACGTAGCTGAGTACTGCCTCCTCGCACCGCTAGACATATTCAGTGAACGAAAAAAAAAAGGCCACTAAAAATGCAGCGCAATGTCAAGCGGAGCGAAAACTCGGAACAGATCGGAAGTAAATCACGAACACAAAAAAAAACAGACGGAGAAAAAAAAACTGACTGCGATTGGATTTGGATGTGGATATGGCCGCGTCCGGCTTCGCAAGCACATGCAAGGCCACATGTTGCCAGACGGCGTCGCACTTTCGGTTAGACACCGCTATATAAAATGAGGGGCGACGTTAGCTTACTATTTTATTGAAAATACCTCGACCTATATTCCGGTTTATACGGTAGTTTCAATGTAAAATTTCATTACTACGTACTTCAGAATACCGAACTTCTCGGAATAATGAGCATTAATTTTGTTCCGTGTTATATTACCGTATTTTCGCGCGTATAACCCGCACCAAAAATCAAAAAATTTCAGTGGAAAAGTGAAGGTGCGGATAATACACGGGGTTTTTCTTATAGTGCTGCTTCACAGCAATGCCTGTTGTGGTGTGAAGCCCCTTAACAGTGTAGCGAAGGCTACGGAGGCGGTTTCTGCAAATTCGTGTTGCTCCAAAAGTAGCACGGCAGCTTGCGGCTGATTTTGGTTTCGCTTGCTTGCATCGCTGAAGCGTTTAGAAAAACATTTGGAGAGAGACAATTCGATTGTTCAGTGTAAAATCTCACTGTCACACCACAAGTATTTTTTGGACGTTTGCGGCCACTTAGTGACCCTCCACATGTCCCTACGTCACGGACGCATTATATAAGAAAGTTGCATAATAAATAAAGTAAGTTCCATAATAAATAAAGCAGTATTTATTTCAGCAAGGCAAATGAGATATTATAGTGCCTATAGAGATATTATCAGTAAATTTATGTACTACTTTTTGACGTGGTAGCAGGCATGCATTTCGGTTCTGTTGTTTCCAGGGTGCTGTTACAGTGTACTAGAAAGGGTAGTGCCGTCAAGTTGTCGCCGAGTGTGAGCGCTCTTTACCTCGCTGATACCACTAGTTCTCCACATCTCAACCCGTTCGCCAAGCCTAAGTCGATCTGTTCTGTCACCATGAGTAGCGTACGGCGGCAGGCCTTCGCGGCACAGCAAAAGCTTAAGATCATCGCCGTCGCCGAGGAATTTGGAAATCGCGAAGCGGGAAGACGGCACGATGTGGACGAGTCCTGCGTGCGACTGTGGAGAAAGAAGAAAGAGAGCCTACAAGCCGCGCACCGCGACCGTAAGTCATTTTGTGGCCCTAAGACCGGTGCCTACCCTGAGCTGGAGGCGGAGCTAGTAGAGTTCATCGAAGATGTGAGAAGCAGGGGTCACGCCGTATCGAACGAGATGGCCCAAGTGGAAGCGCGGCGACTTTCGAGGGAGCTAGGCCTACCTCACGAGTTCCATGCGAGCAGCGGATGGCTGCACCACTTTATGAAGCGGCAAGGGCTCTCAATCAGATGGCGGACTACAATACAGTAAAAGCTCGTGAATTCGGATTTCACGGGACCGGAAAAACTGTCCGAATTACCCGAATGCCGAATTAACGAATGAACAGGGGAAACAACATTTAAAATCAAGCTGCAGAAGCATACCTTTATTTGTTGAAGTATTTTGTAATTGTCGTTTGCGTTTTCGCGCAGATTCCGGCTGACATCACAATTTTTCTTACTGTTCCAAATGGCCAACAGCACGCAAGCTGTCGAAAGTGTTCAGGCAAGGGTTCTCTAATATTAACAGCGCCTCCGAGACTTCCCCTGAGGTGCGATGAGGTCGTGGCTGTATCTCCTCGCATGATTCTTCGTCGGAATCGTGGTCTTCATGGGCGCCCGTGACATTATTAATAATCTCTTGATCGGTCAGGAGAATACTCATGGCGACACCATGATCAATCGCGATGTAGTCCTGAAAGGTCACATCTGTGGGAAGGACAGCATCGAAAGTCGGGCAGTCATCGTCGGTGGACTCTGCCGCTTTTTCGGCGTTGCCATCACGCGCACGATGGTGGTGGCATGCAAATACGGTCACAATGGAAGAAAAAGAGAACTCCGCAAGAAGAGATGGTTCCGACACGACAACACAAGGGAAAATGGCGTTGGAGGCGCTGAGTGGAGAAGAAAGAAGATGCCGACGTTCGGTGACGCTGCGATCGCCCCCACTAGTTGATGATGATGGCGATGCCACTCAGGTTTCGGTTTCACTCCAGTGGTGCCAGCGCTGCTTTGTCACACTTTTGCATGTAGCATTAGCCGTCAGCATTTGTCCGAATTAAGCGGTGCGGAGCCGAATTCCGACGAAATAACGAAGGTTTGGTCCCATAGATTAACATGCACTTTGGCCGGGACCAATAGAGCCATCCGAATTATCCGAATTTCCGAATTAACGGGTGTCGAATTAACGAGCTTTTACTGTATGTCAACGCTTGCAGGCTTCTTATGAGGAGGAGCTGCTCAAGTGACAGAGATTTGTAATTGGCCTGCGAAAGCAGCACAATTACATTTTCTTGCAAATTGGCAATGCGTATGAAACTCCTGTTTATTTTGAAATGCCGTTGGACACAACATTTGAGAAGACGGGCAGCAGTTCGGTGAGCGTGACTGCCGGGAACACGAAACTGCGCATCACAGTCTTGCTTTGTGTCCTCGCCGACGGCACGCAACTGCGACCGTACGTCATCTTGAAAAGGAAAACTCTACCAAAGGTTCATTTGCCTGTCGGTGTGGTGGTGTGCGCAAACGAGAACGCGTGGATGAACAGTGACTTGTTCGTAGACTGGATCAAGACGGTATGGGAGAAGAGGCCCGGTGCGATGCTTGCAAAGAGGTCCATGCTCGTTCTTGACTCGTTCCGCGGCCACACTACTGAGGAAGTGAAGGACCGCCTTTCACGCAACGGCACCGACTTATTTGTTATACCCGGTGGAATGACCTCAATGTTGCAGCCTCTAGATGTGTCGCTTAACAAGCCCTTCAAAGCGCATGTCAAGCGCTATTACGCCGAGTGGATGGCCGAAGGCTACTACGACTTGACGCCGACAAGACGAGTCCCAAGGCCTGATATTGCCCTATTCTGCAAGTGGATTGTCGAGGCATGGAACGCCATTCCAGGTGAGATGGTGCGAAAAAGTTTCAAGAAATGCTGCGTCACAAACAACATGGATGGAACCGAAGATGACCTTGTGCATAATAGTGAGGACTGCCGCTCAAGTGATAACTCTAGCGAAAGCAGCGACAGTGAGTGAATTGTGACTGGCCTTGCAGACAGCGTATTCTGCTTGCTAAATAAAGCTTTTTCTGTCTACATATGTGCTATGTTGCTTGAGCAGTAGCTTTTGTGCAGCCTTTCCTGTATGTCAAATGTGGGGGCAATACGCGAGGATATTTTTTTTCTTTCTCGGTGAGCTGAAAGTGGGGGTGCGGATTATTATATGCATGGGCGGGTTATACGCGCAAAAATACGGTAACGCCTCAGTACTACAAACTCTTGTTCTGAAATCTTTCGCAACAACCGGAGCGGTACGCAAGACGACAGCGAATGAACGCCTTCCTTCTCGGAAGACCCGCGATGGTGTAGAGAATAGAAAAAAAAACAAAAAAAGTGCGACTTTTTTTTTTTTTTTTTTTTTTTTGTTGAAACTCTGACGCTGCAGGTTTACAATCGCAGAGGCGAGGAGCGAAAACAAGGGAGGGCAAGGTCAGCGAAGCAGAGTGGGAGTTGCAAAACAGTAAGCATGGGCGCGGTAAACCTGAGACAGCGAGGGAACAGAAAATGAAACTTGAGGAATTTTTTTTTTTTTAACACCTTTTTTTTCTTTGGAAAAGGCGATGACAGCCGCGACGCTTCGGGTTTTTCTTTCTTTGTCACTTCTACATGTGCTCTAGGAGACCTTGTTTGACTGTCAGTCGTGTCCATCTCTTTTCGGTGATTACTTATCCCATTCGCACAGCAAGTCTGCCTTCACGCTGCGGTGCTACTACAAATCAGTTCATCTCTGTTTGCGATGAAGAAGCGGAAGCAGTTTTCACTAAGTGAGAAAGTGGATATTCTTCGGCAACCGGAAGGCAAAAAGCAGGCTGTTGTGACCAAAGAACCAAATCGCACCACAGGAATGTGGATGAGCTGGAGGCCTTCGCGCTGCTAGTTTGTGCTGTACGCGTCAAAATAAAAAAAATCGCAGAATTCGTTAAAGTGAACAAGCATTTTTTGGGTGTTTCTTGTGCATTTGTTTTCTTGTGAAAAACGAGTTCAATGACTCACCATTGTAAAGGTAAGTCATTTTGGTCGGGGAAAATTAAGTATTTATGGTTCATTTTCGGGCTTTCGCTATAAGGACCTTTCAAAATAACGAACGAATTGTCGCAGCCCCCTGAAGTTTGTTATACTGAGATTTCACTGTACGTGGATCCGTTAAAATTAGTTTAGACTGTGTAACCTCTGTGGTGTATTATGAAAGAGAAATATGTTAGTGTGAGAAAATAGTTATTTAACAGTTATATTTGGTGTATGTCGTAACTAAGGCTTCATGGATAATTTGGGCATGCATAAGTGAGACCTTAACATTTTCACCACTCACTGAGATGAGAGTTTGTGTTTGCACTATTGTTGCGAATTACTTTTTTGTGTGTGTATTCATACTCGTGTATTTCCACATTGTGTAAACATGTTTTTTGAGCTAACTCCGTGTGCACCACGTGCAGGCAATGGAGTCGCTGTTGCCGTGTCCTCTATGCATGGAGGTTTGTTCAACACGCTCGCTCTACATTGCCCACGTTCAAAGCTGCGCAGATGGCCAGGAAGTACGCTAGAGTTGAATGCCATCTAGCACTCGTGCTAGGACGGGAGCCCCCAGCATAACTCCTCCTTGTAGATATGTAACCTGATAAACTGTTCTTTAGTCAGGCTGATTTCAGAAACAAAGATCGAATGTGAAAGTTTCTGTTCAGGCTTGGCAAAGCACTCTTTTGTAACGGAGCCGCCCGTTCCTTCTCGGCTGTTGGCTATACTTGGCTGTTGAGGTATTTGTGTATTCGTAGCGCATCAAGTGTTACTTTGTTTTCTGAGCCCACTATTGCATGCTTGTTTTTTCGCTTTGATCGAATTGATCTTGGGCAAATCTGTTATGTGCCGCATTCAGTTATCTTGGCGTTATAGCACAATTTGTTGTACACATGTATTTTCTCTTAACATAAATGTGCAGCAGCGTGCTGCCTCTCATCTGTGAGGTCATCTAAAAATATTCTCGACTTTCTTTATCTGGCCAAGTGATAATGCGCTTAGCGTAAGTTAGCCTCCTTACCAAGTGATGTTGTTTCTTTTGGGTTTAGGCTTTGTCTCAAGCGTTTGAATACGAAATGTCCTATAACATGCATGTGTCTTTTTGTACAACCAGAAATTTGAGCTCCCTGAATATAAAAGTCTACTGTCTTAGCTAATGGCCTTTGTATAGAGGGTTCTGCAAAGTGAAGAAAGAGCATATCTACTTGCTGACTGTGCTTTGCTAGGTCAGTGTATTATTTAGTCTCTTTAGATTGTCAAATGCATGTTGTATGAGCCTCAAATAATCTGGAGCTGTGGCATAAATATTAGCATGTTTTACTAACACTTTTTTTTTGTTAATCTGCAGCTTTGTTAAAAGCCCTGTAGCTCCAGCTTGGTGGGATCAGTGCAGCCATGTTCTCTATAGACTATTGCTTCTCGTATGTTATGCATTTGCACGTATGCCTCCCTGTTGTTTAATTACTGTGATTAACTATGACGTTCGCTGCATAGCAAGTGATATGACTAGTAAAAAGGCGTCTTTATTTTTGTTCCTTTTTAAAGAGTGTGCATTGCTTGAACATCAGCTTGTTAAACTTGTCATGCTGTTGTTTGTAGCAGATCTAAGTTAGTACTTGCTGTTGGAGTTTAGCCTCAGCCATGTAAAGAATTTGGTGGCAATGAAAACCACCTTGTTGGTTACCTTTTCGACGATTGCGAACAACTGGCATCTGTGCATGGGATACTACAACAAGGTTGTATTTGTATTGGTGATGATGGTAATAATTGTCACAGGTCTGACTTTTTGCCTTTTTCTGATGTTGTTACGGTAAACAGTAAAGTGTAGAAATGGCAGAGGTTAGCTGGGTGGTAGAAAATACACGAACGAGCAAATGCTTCGCGCAATTTTGAAACCCACACATTTTGTTCCTTAAAGTGTTCTTGTGTCCTGTGACTTACTACTAGGAAACAGCATGGCTAGAGTGAAGTTACGATGTCATAGTTTTACTGTAGCATGTTGTAAGCTTCAGTTATGCACACAACTGACCATAAAAACATTTGTTTGGAAATGCAGTCTGGTGCATATTGAGAAAATATTTAATGTTGCAGCTATATATATTCATAAATTGTTGAGGATAGATTATGCAGATTTTGGTGTGCCAAGTATAGAACATGTATTACTTTCTGAAAGCCAATGAGTATTGTTATTCTTTAGAAAGCTGCACCCTTATGTACACTTGTTTTACAGTGCCATTACTGTAGTATGTGCATGCCTATGTGCCTGGTATTAATTTCTGGCACTCAAAGTTTGACAATAGAGCGTAAATTGTGAAAACGTTTTTAGAAATTTGTGCAAGCGAAGCTGCCTTTTCTCTCAGATATTTGGTGACAAAGGCCCAGTTTGTCCGATTTTGGATGAAGCCTAGATCTGTAGCTGACATCAAATTGCTGGACTAATGTGTCTCTGTTTGAGTAGGCTTGACATTTTTTACCTTATGACTGTCAGTCTAAATGTCCGGAATAACTTGCAGTGATGTGTGAAGTTGTGCTATATCATCTTCACTTTTACCTCTGTATTGTCACACGTAGAAATGTTTTGTGTGAAATGCGCCTTATGTCTAGTCGATTACTGCAGCGTGTGTGTATGCTTGAACTGGTGAAGAAACGAAAAAGGCTTACATCGTTTCAGATGAGAATAAAGATACTTTATTGTATGACTTAGTGGTGTGTGAACATATTTTCTTTCTGGCTTTGATATTATAAAAGTGTGGTACTATTGTACACAAGAGCAGCATTTCTGTATCTCTTGCTAGGCTGCATACATGTCAACCTGAGAACATAGATGTTTGTAAAAATTGTGTGAGCTCATGGAAAGAGGGACGAAATTTCTCTAGTTAGTCCTGAGCATACACCTGTTTCGGAATGCACATGCACACTGGCAATTACTTTTACATGCACACTCAAGCAAGACAAAACATGGAACTACAAATAGTACTAACAAGCAGTACATTGTTTTATATCATCACAGTGGCTCTCAAGCACCACTCTTGTCGATTTTGTCTTCTTGAGGAACTCGTCTTGTTAAATTGCACAAGACTGTTAACCCCTTTTGCATGTGCCATGTTGTACTAGCATGAACAAATTATGGGTGTACAATTTATCCTTTGCATGCATGTTTTGAAATCTTGAGGCACCTTTGGTATTTTCCTTTTAGTGAGCAATTTTTCTATATAATCAGCCCACGTTCGTTATTTTAGAAAATTCTGCAAGAGTTGCTACTATGCAGCTACTGTGCTTCAAAAGTGCTTACATATTCGCATAAAGACTTCCAATCTTAGTCATGTTCATTCAATGCACATTGCGTGCCTAACTTGGTGGGCCTCTAGAATGTGATGGTCTCGGTAGGATGGGTTATGCCATTGTCATGAAGACAAGTGATCTGTATAGTCAGATTTAGTCATTCTTTTTCTAAAGACTCTAGCATACACATTTAAACTCTCTTGTTTCGTCAAGCAAGGTGAATTAAGAATAGCTGTTTCCATGCTGCTTGCTATTGTATTTCAAGCCTCCTATAAATTTGATTATCACGTGCCCTGCATTATTTAAATCATACAAGTAAAGTTTGTATGGCTGTGGTGAGCAAAAAATGAGCAATGCTAATGTGAAAGCTTCCTGTGCATCAGAAGTATTCAGAACAACCAAACTGGCAGAGTCTGCAAATGCTGACATTTAGCAATACCATAGCGATATTACCATTCGTTATTATGTATATTGCAAATTAGGCACCCTGTATGTTCTGGTATCACTAAAATATGGTGTATGAACTGGCTTCTCAAGTACAGTAGATAAGTTATGGCCAAGACAGCTTTAGTAGGAAACGTCAGTATAACACTCTTTTTGCTTCTGTAGCTAGAACTGGACTTAAGAAGCCAATTGGCGATTGACTAGGAAGCCGAAAGCGCCGATGGGGCTCTAGACAACACCCCCTGCGGTCCTTATATTTATTTGTTTCTCAGTCCCATCTGCTGCTCTTTCTATAGATGGGCACAATGCTAGCAATCATTCAACTGCATTGGCAGATGTTTGCTACATTGCTTCACTCAAATGTCATTTTTAGCAGGGACCCTTCTTAAAGTAAGCCACATGAAGCAATCATTTTTTTAACATCATTCTCGGACACTATTGTGCATAAAGCACCTGAAATGGCTCGCGCGAAAATAACTAAAATGTCTTTTCGCGTTTTTTTTTTTTTTTGTTGCACATTTTATGACTGGAAGCCATTCATACCATGGCTTGTATTCATAGAATTGCCTATGATAAAGATCAGCGAGTCTTTGGGACTTTGAAATCCCGTTGAAACAGCTGAGGTGATAAGCAATAAATTAAAGGTTGAAATTGTCGTCTCCCATATATAATTACAGTGGGGCAGTAATTACATTATTTCACTCCAATGGCATGTTATAAGGTATTCCCGTGGAACTCACTGCACGTTCATTACTTATGCAAGTTGTCATGCAGGTACTGACACAATTTCCTTGTGACATTTCGGAACATGACTTCGCATAACCAAGGCCTTCTTAGTTACTGAAATTTGTGGAGCTGCAGTTTTATACTGCCGTAAGATCGTATTCGCAAGCCGTTACATGCACCAGCTGGCAGCATTACATACCAACTCTGTGGTTTCCGCGCGCTTTAGGTGTAAAGCTTGGGACCCTAACTTTCCTCAAATAAACGCCTGCAATTTAACTCGACCACCCTTTAGGTTAGCTCCGGTTATAACGCGCGCTCACACGGAAAATACGCCTCCTACAGCGAATGAAATTTTCCTGCCGCCGTAATGTTGCGTCGTTCCCACTATTTTACCCACCAAGCCGACGTAAAGCAAAACCGGCGATGCGGCGACACATGCCGCGTAAATATATTTGAGACGCCAACCAAGAAGCGCGATCGCCGGACATCCCGAATGTTTCCGCGGTGCTCCGCTCGCATAGGGTTCGCGAGTTCCTACGGAAACTGGCCATGAACTCTCCGCCGATGCGTGAAGAGAAGAATGCAAGAATAAGTGACGCCAGCAGCGGTGGTGGTTTTGTCCTGCTGTGCTCCGAGGCGAGAGAGCTGCACGACGAAGAATAATTATAATAATAATGATAATAATAATTGATGTGGTCTAACGTCCCAGAACCACGATATCGTTATGATAGACGCCGTAGTAGAGCGTTCCAGAAAGCTCAACCACCTGAGTTTCTTTTAACGTGCACATAATGTAATCAAAAGGACCTCGAGCATTTTCGCCTCCATTGGAAATTCGTCCGGGATTCGAACCCGCGACCTGCGGGTCAGCAGTCGAACACAATAGCCACCTTGGCGAGTTACAAACAAAAGAGTATGTTGAGATATATATTGCTTCTCGGGGCAACAGCTCTTGTGTTTCATGGGTAGAAAGAACGTAATTGTTAACGGATAATCTTATGTCGCGATGGACATTGAAAACTGCGCCGGGATGAGCTCGTCGCACTTCGCCGTCATCTTTCGAATATCTGACTCTTACGAGAGAACCCGGTGACGGCTGGCGCAAAAAAAAAAAAAGAAAAAAAAACGATCCGGGGTTTATCGGCGTGCTGTTAAGGCGGCGTAGGCAGAAATGTTTGGGGGGAGGGGGCACTTCCTTGAATTAGTCATTTTTCCCTCTCTTCCCTCTCTACTACATGACGAAAAAAAAATGGCAGCATATCCACGGAGTGAATGATGGAAAGTGGGGCGAAGCATTCGTCCGTCCATGCGTCTGTTGGAGCGCCCGTCCCTGCGTTTGTCCATGCATCCGCCCCTGCGTCCGTTCATGCGTCCATACATGCATCCGTCTGTGTGTCCGTTCGTCCATCTATTCAACACTCCAAGTCCCACCATCTCGCATCTTTTTATCATATATTCCCCATATAGAAGCACCGCCATTCAGTGGACATTCCAAGGACTAAACGAGAGGTGGCACACGCACACTTTCTTACGGCTTGCGCTTCGGGTCTACTTCCCACCTTCAACCACCTTGAGTTCATGGTATATACTAGTTCACTGTATTCATGGCACTGCGGACCAATGCTCGCTAAACCTTTCTAAAACCAAGGAGGTTACGCCCAGCGAGTATAACGTAGCAACCTTTTCCTGTCAGATAGTGCTCAATGTACATGCCAGTGGCTGCTAATGTGAAATGAGAGACAGCAGGAGCTTTTAATTTCTTACGGCTTGCGCTTCGTATCTGCTTTCCCCCTTTAACCACCTCGAATTCATTCATGGTATATACTAGTTCATTGTATTCATGGCCCTGCGGCTCAACGCTTGCTAAAGCTTTCTAAATCTAAGGAGGTTACACCCAGCGAGTATAATGTAGCAACCCTTTCTTGTCCGATAGTGCTCAATGTACATGCCAATGGCTGCTAATGGGGATCGCAGCGTGCACGTTGACTAAAAGCCGAATGTTCTTGTCTCTCATTCCCTATTAGCAGCCATTGGCATATACATTGAGCATTATTTTTTATTGTTAAACAACGCACAGAAGAAATCTCCCACCGGCACCACCTTGGAGGTCAAACGTTATACCTATTTCGGGTATGTGCCACTGGTGGTTACGTACTACGAGGGACGCACAAGCCACGCCATAAGGAGCTTCGCCCCTAAAAATCAAGGGGTGCATGGGCCCAGCTACGCCACTATATTGAGGCGAATCTCGCCTCCCCTGAACAGGGCGAATTTGTCTTGGTGTGAACGTGCTCATAAAGTTAAAAAAGAGAAATGCACGAGGTCGAAACAAACGATAACGTGCCTTACCCGCATCTTTTGTGTTTGTTTTATTTATGTCAGCTCTGTTTTTCGTAATGGGCACTGAGATGACTCCCGTAGAGATTATCTTGGTTAAGTTGCTTGCAGTGAGTGACTGCCTTGAAAATATTTGCTTGGAACAGTGTCATGGCTTCTCATACACAAAAAGAGAGACCTTAAGTATCACGAATACCAAGGGCTGAGTTCCACAAAATTCATTTGTGGCTGTCGGCTGTCTCAGGAAGAGCATACAAAGGAACGATGCATTTCTCGTGATTCCGGAGTGCCACTTCGCGACATGAGAATGTCTGGCATGTATGCCGTGCGTTTTCAAACAATGCTGGTAGGGGAAGACCTGCACAAACGTCTTTATCGATGGTTTCGTGGCCTTGGTAACTGGATTGAGTCTTCAGCTTGATACGGCGCGTGATACGTTCAGCAGTCCTCGTTGGACGAAGAGGCTGGGCTGAAGACCCTCGAGTACCAGTGCGCGTAAGACGTGGCGTGCAGCGGTCCCTTGAGCACAAGCCGGCGCCGGGGCAGGCCGAGCTCGCGGTCCACGTCCGCACGTCGAGGGCAGGGCTCGGCCGGGGGCCGGTCCTGTCGCCGCTCCACGCGCTCCACCGGCGCCATGGGTGCCTTCGCTTCGCCGCTCGAATGGCTCACAACTTTTCGCCTGAGTTGGTAAACAGCGATCATCGTCAGTTTAAGTTTGAGCACAGGAAAAAAAGCAAAGGGTGAAGGAGACGTGCACGCTCATACCGGCCCCTCTTGCGGATGTCGCTGTCGATGTACATGTCGGCGGCGATCTGCCACTGGCTCAGCGGGCCCTGGTAGCGGCCGAAGCTGCCGCGTAGCACTGATCGCGGAGGCAAGAAGGGCACCAGGGGCGGGCCGGTCGCAGCAGCAGC